ATGTCACACAGTCTCCAACCATTGGTTACGATAGTCACGCGGACCACAACCAAGTCGTATCCATCTACAAACATGGCTCAGACCAGAAGTTGGTGACTCCAAGCACTGATGCCCCATTTTGGTTTGGCCGACCCTAACTTTCTTCCAACCATCCAGAACACCGGTTAGCATTGCTTGTCGTGGTAATCGGTGTTCAGGCATACGCAACACGTGGCCCAACTATCTCAGTCGATGAAGATTCACAACCTCATCAACTGATTTATCATCATTCCCAAATACGCTGTGTCTAACCTAACTATTACTTACCCAGTGATCCCAGCAATATTTCTAAGGCATCTGTGGTCAACTACTAGTAACTTACGAGTGTCCTCTACCCTTAATGGTCACGCTTCGAAGCCGTAAAGTAGAACGGAAAGAACTGCTGCGCATTATACTCGTTCTTTAATTGATAAAAGGATATCTCGCCTTCGACATAGGTGACGTAAGTTGGCAATAGCCAAAAGAGCTTTTCGAATCTATGCCGAAATTTCGTCAGACATCAACTCATAATGGCTGATCAGACTTCAAAGTGAGGTTGTCAACGCGTTCGACTACTTCAAATACTGCTTTCAGGTCAAGAAAGACCACCATTGTCTTGTCCTGAAGTCTGACGAATGATAAATATGTTGTCGATGCAGCTACGACCAGGTCTGAAGCCAGTCTGATTTTCTCATGTTTGCAGTTCACTAGTCTTTGTTAGGCGACCGGTAATTATTTGAGGCTAGAATTTTAGATAATATGTTAGTCAAACTAATCCATCTATGGCTATCTTAGGATGATTTTGACCCCTTATATATTGGGACAATTAGTGATTGTGACCAGTCAGATGGAATTACGTCTAACTCCCAGATTTTAGCTAATATTAACTAATCTAATCGCTGAAACTGGACCACCATTCTTAAAGACATCTGGAGTTAATCCATATGGACCAGCCGCTCTTCTTCGTCTCAGATTAGCTATAGCCTTTTGGACTTCAGCTAGAGTCTTGAGACCTACTTCAATGTTCGATTCAGGTCGTTTGGGAATGGTGGGTAGTTTTAGAGTAACTGAAGGCCAGCTGAACTGCCCCTTAAAGTGTTCCGCCTATCGTTCGAAACGTCTGGGCTGAGAACAGATAAGTGTCGTCTTTTTCCGAGATAGTCTCGCTTACCATTGACTTTTTAATTCCAGTTTCTTCTATTAGTCTGAAAAGCTGTCTGGTGCTACATACAGCCGCCGCCTTTTCCATCTATTTTGCTTTCGTTGCTTATCACTGCTCACGGTCGTTCCTTATACTTTTTTTCAGAGCCCGATGGGGTGAGTTTACGAGAATCCATCAGTGCAATAGACTTAGAAGATATCCAGTGTTTTTTGTAACCCTGTGGTTTAAATCATTAACACATGTCACTGCTGTTTCCACAGCTGTTTGTATATCTTTCAAAGCAACATGTGAACCAGCCTCCTTTTCAGAAGTGCCTAAGTCTGACCTCAGTTGTTCTTGGAATCCACTATTGGCTTTGTCGTCACTGAGTTAAACTCGAATGAGTCTTCTTAGTGTGGCTTTTCTGCATCCAGTGAGGCGCAAGCAGATGCGTGCTCGTATTAAAGCATGATCGGAGTCCAAGCAGGTATTCCAGAACGAGCGACAATCTTCTGTCGAGCCTCTCCAACGATGACTGATGGCAATATGGTCTATTTGAGTCCATCGTTGGTTTGGTGTAGGTAGTCGCCATGTTACACGATATCTCTCCTTATGCTGAAAATTAGTGTTTGCTAAAAATGAACGATTGTCTGAGAACAGTTGCAGCAGGCGATCACCATTATCTGTTCGCTGAACCGGAGTTTTAAAATACCCATCTAAATGTCTTTCAGCTTAGTTTATGCTACTTACCTGTGCATTAAAGTCACCTGATACGAGTACTATGTCTGAGTGTTTAGCTTTCTGAAGAAGTTCAGAAAGCTTTCTGTAAAATTCATCTTTCACTTTATCCGGGCTGCAGTCAGTGGGAGCGTAGGGAGAAACGACGAAAAGGCAACGACATGTGCCGAACAACATATAAGCGACTGTCAACAGGGAACCATTCTAAAAGTGCTTGCCTTGCACCCATACTTAGTGCTATGACTAAACCTGTCAGCCCACGAGAACTTGACGTAGGGTCACTAAGTAAACGGAGGGTATATCTTTTCGGCTCCCCGTCTTGGTTTCGTGAGGTTAAGTGAATGAGTGTTTCGGAGACAGCGTACATCAATGGTACGAGATACCAGGGTCTTGGCCAAGGAGGTCTGCTGGCCGTACAGTCGAGGCTGCAATGTGTAGTTCGGAGCGAGATTTCAGTAGACCTGAGATAGTATTTCGCACACTAGAATCGTTGGCCATGGTGAAATGTGAATCGATGAAGTTGATAGTCAAGGTACGGGGGGTAATAGGAGTTAAAGAGGGAAACTGATTATTAATAGTGATCTTGAGTGCTGTCAGAGGTATGAGGGCAGTTACTACTTCCCAATTGCCCACACTGTGGAAGGGTTCTTCTAGAGATACCTGAAAAGGAAATTGGGTTGGAGGTGGTTTTGGTGACATGAGAGCGTGACCACAGTACTCAAGGGACAACTGCTTGAGGCCGGTCACACACGACTTCGCTGTGAGTAATTTTCGTGTTAGCTCCGTATGTTTTAAGACTTTACCGCCGGAGATGAATATCCGTGGGATAAAGCGAGATATGCATTCTTAGGGTTGACTTTTTCTAACCCACCCTTCTTGGCGGGAAGTCACCATCATTGTTATGTTTGCTGCCTTTAGTCTTACCATTCTTAAACCGACTTGTCTGGCATGGTAGGACCTTGAGGAACGATTGTTCCAGCCAGTGTATCTCGATTAGTTCATCACTATAGGCAAGTCCGATCACCACGTCAAGGTAGCAGCGACGGTAGAATATTTGGGAAAGAGATAACTTCAAAAAGCTTTGTTTGATAATAGATTAAACATAAATAGAATTACCAAGGGAAACTGGTACTGATACTTAAAACATGAACAGGCAGTGTAGAAAGAAAATCATGAATTCGACCAACATCAATGAAACTTGAAGGGGAATGTGATTTATGATCATTAGGGTTTGATCCAGATGATTCAAATTGTGAGGTAGAAATCAAATTAAATTCTATTGTTTGTGCATGATGAGTTGGCGTTACAATTGAAGTTGTCGCCAAACTATGCGCAGATAAATTTGAATGATGGCTTCTAGGTAATGTACTGTATTCTTCTGGATTGATTTCACCGAATAAACTATCATTACGAATAAGTAGAGAAAAAGAATCGTCTGACTCGTCAACACTTAATTCAGCTGCTTCCGCCTCAAACAATTCAGAATCTTCGAATACAAGAGCAACCAAATTAATTGTCTCAGTATCAGGTGATAAACAATCTCGTTTTGACCACCGGAAAGTTCTTGGAGCCATTCCTTACTAAAAAAACAACCACCGCGAAAACGAGTTATTATGAGTTATTTCAAGAAAAAAAAACAGAAAATGGCAATATGAAAATTATTCGGAATGCCGAACATATTATAGCAATAAAAGAGGGTATAAAATACGGTAGATAAATAACTATATTTAATAGTTATTTATCGGTGCATTGACTTACCCGATAACAATTTACTGTAGAGTATAACTGAAGGAGCATTAAAAAAAGATCTGAATCGATCAATATGACTATAGAGTACCTAATTTTATATTTTCTAATTTGTAGTGTTGACTGAGCGCTATCAACTAAAATACTGATACATCCAGTAGACTCGTCCCCGATACTAAATAGGAAGACTTAGCTAACGTGGATTTTGATAAGGTAAGAGTTGGAGGTATGTGAAAATTCGATAAGCCTTAAATAACATACATTAAGGCTACAGCAAGAGACAGATGCGGTATTCCAACTAGCCGGTTTTATTTTAAGAAAGATTAGATGGTACAGCATACGGTTATGGTTCGAGTACCTGTGAACGAGTATGTACCTCTCGATTTTATGCATATACCTTCCTCATGGATCTAAGTAAAAAAATATCTAAGATGTAATGGTGAGTTACCCAATAAATAAAAATTTGAGCTTTGAAAAAGTCAAAAAACATGTAGTGTTAGAGAATCATAATTTATGCTACCATACGAACGAGCAGGGAGTTTATATATTTGAATATGCGAAATCAACCTTTTGAGATTTCAAAACAAAATTCTATATGAACATTACAAAAAAAACTTCATTCAAGCATAACCTTCGAGTATAGTGTATATAAGATAATTTTTTATTAACATCTAGCGATGTTCAAGAGACAATTCACGAAATTAAGCATTTACTAATTTAAATATCGCAGGTGATAAACAAATAATATTACGTGAAAGTATTCTTAGTTTATATCCCGCATGGATCTTAGTTAGACAACTATTGAAAAACCATGAGGCAGCTGTTTTGTTTTGAAACGAAACCTCTCAGTCGTGAATGTTCACGACCCCACTGCAGACCAAAACCCAGATCCTTAAGGTCTCACGGGGGAAGCTCAAATTAGACATGTAAGCTTCCTTAGTGATCTGAAGGTTGAGCACTCGCTGTGTGATCTGAAGATCCTGAGTTCGATACCAAAAGATTGTGGATGAGCACCACTTAGGTCTCATATTGAAATAAAGCAGGTATTCAGTGCTTCCTGGTTTTTCAATGGCTGTATAAGATTAATCAGTGGTGTAAGAATTGAAATTCAACAATCTTCACAAATACCCTAAAGTAATTTGAAAGCACTCGTGATACATCCAAACAAATTAATTAAAAAAACTAATTATCTGAAAATCTAACTGGGTTTATCAAGTTAAAACAATATGCTACCTGTTCGAAAAGACACAAATTCAGATAGAAATAAAAAACAATATATATTCATAGAAATAAAATTTTGGGAAAAAACAGAACTCATATTATTATTAGACATTTTAATTCGAAAAGTAATGTAGTACAACGATAATGCTTTTTGTAATATCAACTTTAATATCCATGTAAGAGTGTGGAAATGCGAAGAGGCACATATACATAAATGATACCGTCAAGTTTAAATGAACAGCATAAAGCATGATTTATTTAGAAGAAACAAAGGAAATAAGTAGATAAGTAATCCCACATCAAACTCTTTTTTATTCATCCTGTGACATATGACTGTGGATTCTCACAAGTAAACTAGTCAACTCTTCAAACACCTTTATAAGTAGAACTAATTCCAAGATTGATTTGTTCTTTAGTACAATGAAATACAGCACTAAGTAATCGAATAAAACCTGTATCCATAGGTTTATCCAAACCGCGTAAGAGTCTATGTCGCATAACACCAACAAATTCACGATAACTTAATTGTCCATCATCTAAAATATTAACGAAAATAACAGAAAAATAGACGAAAAACTGTAGAATAACGGAAAATATTTCGCAATCGAATGGACGTTATTCAAACAGATTTAAAAATGATGAAGATTCGCACAAGAATTTCTCAACTTTTTGGAACTAATATTGATCTATCGTTAATTCACTCCCATTTTATACAGAAAAAAAAGACACAACAATGAGAGAAAACAAAGGTGAGATAATTAGCAAAATAAATTGAATCAACTGTGATAAATATTATATTGGACAAAGTGGATGCCTTCTTCAGTTACGCATACACAAACACAAACTATCAGTAAAACTATATGATATATTACCACTGATATCAATGCATAGAAATAACTATAGACAAAAATATGAATAGCAAAACGTGAAGATCATAGACTGAGGAAACTCTAATAATGCCAATGAATTTCTGGAAGCATAGCATTCAACTCATTGAGTAATCAATGGAAAAAATTGTTTAAACCCACCCTATTAGCCTGTTTAACTCCGCCTGGAGTCCCTCCGGGGGCTACTGCCGGTCTCAAGCCCGGATAAAGGAGGAGGGTTGGGCATGGGGTTAGCGTCCCCATCCCGTAGAAAACTAACTCGCTAAAAAAACGCTAACCAGAAAAAATTATTCAAAGCTTTTAAACTCTGCCCTGGGAGTCAGAAGATCTTCATTTAGAAGAATTATGACGCCTCATGATGAAAGCCGAATCCCTTCGGAAGTTACGAGGCCGATGCCCCTTCTGACAACCAGAGCGACCATTTATTTAGGTACATGGAATGTTCGTACAATGTGGGACACCGGAAGAGCCTTCCAGATTGCTGCAGAAATGAGAAGATACAACCTAGAGGTACTTGGGATCAGTGAAACACATTGGACACAAGTTGGACAACAACGACTAACTACAGGAGAGCTCCTGTTATACTCCGGCCATGAAGAAGAAAATGCACCACATACACAAGGAGTTGCATTGATGCTGTCCAAACAAGCGCAAAATGCGCTTATAGGATGGGAATCTCATGGACCAAGGATCATCAAAGCCTCGTTTAAAACAAAGAAAGAGGGCATTTCAATGAACATCATCCAATGCTATGCGCCTACCAACGACTACAATGAAGACGCTAAAGATCAATTCTACAATAGGCTGCAGTCAATCGTCGAGAAGTGCCCAACGAAGGACCTGACCATTCTGATGGGAGATTTCAACGCCAAGGTTGGAACGGACAACACTGGATATGAAGACATCATGGGACGACACGGACTGGGAGAAAGAAACGAAAATGGTGAGAAATTTGCAAACCTATGTGCCTTCAATAAACTGGTCATAGGCGGCACCATATTCCCACATAAACGCATACACAAAACCACATGGACTTCACCGGATCACTCTACACAAAACCAAATCGACCATATTTGCATCAACAAAACGTTCAGGAGGACTATGGAGGACGTGAGAACCAAGAGAGGAGCTGATATAGCATCAGATCATCACTTACTGGTCGCCAAGATGAAATTGAAACTCAAGAAGCACTGGACAACGGGGCGGACAATATCACAAAATTTCAATACGGCCTTTCTTCAGGATACTAACAAACTCAACAAATTCAAGATAGTCCTCAGCAATAAGTTCCAGGCCTTTCATGGTCTACTCAATGGAGAAGGAACTACTGTGGAGAGCAACTGGAAGGGGATCGAAGTGGCAATCACTTCAACATGTCATGAGGTCCTGGGTCACAAGAAGCACCACCCCAAGGAATGGATCACTGTTGGTACACTGGATAAGATTCTAGAAAGGAGGAACAAGAAGGCAGCGATCAATACCAGCCGAACAAGAGCAGAAAAAGCCAAGGCACAAGCTGAATACACGGAAATAAACAAACAAGTGAAGAGGAGCATCAGAACCGACAAACGTAAATATGTTGAAGATTTAGCAACGACGGCGGAAAAGGCTGCAAGAGAAGGAAACATGAGACAATTGTATGACACGACAAAGAAACTCTCTGGAAATCGCCACAAACCAGAACGACCAGTGAAAAGCAAGGAAGGCAAGGTAATCACCAACATTGAAGAGCAACAAAACAGGTGGGTAGAACACTTCAAAGAACTGTTGAATCGACCAGCTCCACTGAACCCACCCAACATCGAAGCAGCACCCACGGACCTCCCAATCAATGTTGGCCCACCAACAATTGAAGAAATCAGCATGGCTATCAGACAAATCAAGAGTGGCAAAGCAGCAGGACCGGACAACATCCCAGCAGAGGCACTTAAAGCAGACGTAGCGGCAACTGCACGGATACTCCACATTCTCTTCAATAAGATTTGGGATGAGGAACAAGTACCAACAGACTGGAAAGAAGGACTCCTGATCAAAATACCGAAGAAAGGCGATCTCAGCAAGTGTGATAACTACAGAGGCATCACTCTTCTCTCAATACCGGGAAAAGTCTTCAACAGGGTATTGTTATACAGGATGAAGGACTGCGTAGACGCCCAACTTCGTGACCAACAGGCAGGATTCCGTAAGGATAGATCGTGTACAGACCAAATCGCAACTCTACGGATAATTGTGGAACAATCAATTGAATGGAATTCATCACTCTACATCAACTTCATTGACTACGAAAAGGCATTTGATAGCGTGGACAGAACAACACTATGGAAACTTCTTCGACACTACGGCGTGCCTCAGAAGATAGTCAATATCATACAGAACTCATATGATGGATTACACTGCAAAATCGTGCATGGAGGACAGTTGACAAAGTCGTTCAAAGTGAAGACCGGTGTTAGGCAAGGTTGCTTACTCTCACCCTTTCTCTTTCTCCTGGTGATCGACTGGATCATGAAGACGTCAACGTCTGAAGGAAAGCGCGGGATACAATGGACATCTAAGATGCAGTTGGATGATCTAGACTTCGCAGACGATCTGGCCCTTCTATCCCAAACGCAACAACAGATGCAGGAGAAGACAAACAGTGTGGCAGCAGCCTCAGCAGCAATAGGTCTCAATATACACAAAGGGAAAAGCAGGATTCTCCGATACAACACAGAATGCACCAATCCAATCAAAATTGACGGAGAAGATTTGGAAGATGTACAAACCTTTACATATTTGGGCAGCATCATTGATGAACAGGGTGGATCTGATGCAGATGTGAAGGCGCGGATCGGCAAAGCAAAAGCAGCATATTTACAACTGAGGAACATCTGGAACTCAAAGCAACTGTCAACCAACACCAAGGTCAGGATTTTCAATACAAATGTCAAGACAGTTCTACTGTATGGGGCAGAAACCTGGAGAACTACAAAAGCCATCATCCAGAAAATACAGGTGTTTATTAACAATTATCTACGCAAAATACTTCAGATCCATTGGCCGGACACTATTAGCAACAACGTACTGTGGGAGAGAACAAACCAGATCCCAGTGGAGGAAGAAATCAGGAAGAAGCGCTGGAAGTGGATAGGACACACATTGAGGAAAGCACCCAACTGTGTCACAAGACAAGCCCTCACATGGAATCCTGAAGGTCAAAGGAAAAGAGGAAGACCAAAGAACACATTACGCCGGGAAATGGAGATAGACATGAGAAAAATGAACAAGAATTGGATGGAACTAGAAAAGAAGGCCCAGGACAGAGTGGGTTGGAGAATGCTGGTCAGCGGCCTATGCTCCATTGGGAGTAACAGGCGTAAGTAAGTAAGTAAGTAAGTATTAGCCTGTTTGACAAAGGTTAGTCGGGAACATGATTACAGGTCAACAGCACAAGAAAGTCAACCTAAGTACAATTCTAGTGAACAAAAACACGAGTGGAGAAAATCGAATGCATTAGACCACAAAATTACAGAGCATCTCACTAAAATCTGAGAACCGTATAGTAAATAGTTAATTTGCAAAATATCAATCTTTCGTCTCAAACTTGACTGTTCGTTTTGCAAATATCAGTCCATTGTCTCCGATTCGATTGTTCATGCATTTTCATACCGATTGCGTTCCGTTTCCATTCTTTCCTTATCGATCTACTGAAATACATTCTGTGCCTGACCACCGTTATATACTACTTATGTGGATATAAGTAACCCACACCACATAAGGATAAGTGAAGGTAATGAAATTTATGAAGACGATCAATCATAGACAAGCCCACTAAAACAAACTGATTTAGGACCTATGAAATAAGTAAGAAGCTTACTTCTAAATAGAGTAAACAATGGTGATACTGTTTAGAACAATAAGAAATTTGCAATTAAACCACTTAGCTCAAAGAACTCGACAACATCAAAAGACTAAAAAATTAAGGCAGTCTTTGAAAATCGGAGTTATATGGGAAATGTAGATAGGTAAGGAAGGTCCACTTCCAGTACGTCTAGAATATAGAAACTCGGGAAAAATCATACTTCATTAATTGATATACGGTTATATTTACGTCCACAAACTACTGATTTTAATTTGAATAAGCATATTATCTTGTTACTATTAAAAAAACCCTATGTATTGTTTAGAGATCTAATAAACAAACTACTGAAATAGATATTTGACAAAATGTACACGAAATTCACTGACTTACTATTCTCATCGAATAAAGTGAACACAACATCTAAAACATGTGGTGACAAGTGAAGATTGGCGACAGTTGAAGCAACATGATTTAAAGTATCTTGATTAATTGATGCCCCAGCCATATGATAAAATGTCAAAGCAGTATCCACATCAGCAATAGATCGAAGTAAATGACTGAAATCAGAAAAATCTTTATACGTGATACCCTGAAACATATATATACATGAAAAAAGGGAGGATTAAGATTTTTGGTAAGAAAAAACATTCTATTTGAAAGTGTGGTGTGAAAAATAAAGTCTACATTAAACAGACTAAGAATAATTAATTGTAAACAAAAAAACAACTCGTTATAAGTAATGTAGTAGAACAAATGAACTGTTTATTAAGATTTACAAACTACTAACTAACATGAAATAGATGAATTACAGATATTATATAATTATTGTCTATCTATACGTGGTAAAATTGACAGAATATTCAACATACTTATAATCGAATAGTAGTATATACTAGGGAATGTATGCGAACGATTATCATGAAAACGATTAATAATCGATAAACTATTTCAGTTTTAACTGTAGTTGTAAAGTTACTATTGTGAGAGAATTACGTTTAAGCCAACAAAAAACCCAATTTCAATGATTAGTGCAGACATGGGAACAGTTAGGAAACCATGAAGTTCTTCACTAGCTACTTAGAATAATCTTATGGTTATTACTATGAATAAATAGCTTCATTTTGTATGCATGTATATGTGTAATCGTTAATGATACTGATCAACTATCAAGATAAGAGTAAAAAGATTAGATTTTAAAACCAACTTAGCGATTGTAAGTGCAGTAACAGCCGAACAGTAAATACAGTTTAATCCTAAGAATAATGAGTTGAAAACTTAATAACATTAAAATATTTAACTGATGGAAATAGAATGATGTGAATTCAAGAAGGCTGTAAATGCACATATTTAATGAAAGCCTACAACAGTGTATAATAAATAAGGCTTAAAACATTTAGTACTCTACTATCTTAGATAATAAATTTTAAATATAGAGATACTTGGATTGTACGGAGAAATTAACCAAAAAAAATATTTCTCTAACTTAAAATATATCAAAGTAACTTTGATATTATTTTTACAGGAAAGAAATTTCAAACAATAATTACACTAGTTTCATTCAACTGTAATGAATAAAAGAAAATTTGTAAGTTGTAAATATATTCAATCGAAAATTTCACAATGCAATTCATATGTTCATTATAACACAGCTATTAAGAAAGGTTAAGGTCAGTTGAAACAGCATATAGCAATTACAAACTGAATTATTTTTATATACAGTGGCAAAGTAAACAGATTTTTATATTAGGAGAGAAATAATAAAGTGGGAAATAATTATATATATCACTAGTAGAGAAAGGATGAGGAAAACAAAGAGAATGAAAAGACCTTTAATAACTAAGAGAGAGGATAACGATAGGGCAAACATTTTCAAATATATATAGATCAGGGTGGTTGGTAAAATGTGATGAAAGATATTTAACACTTTCTTTCAAGTGGTGTTCGAACATGTCTATTACACGTGGTTGAACTATTTGCATTTAGAAGAAATCTAAAAGACTTTTGTTTTTTTTTCTTCTTAGTTAAGAAAAACGTAGTGAAAGCTTTCATTATGTAATGGTCTTGTAGTCGATCAACACAAAAAGGAGTGGAAAAAAGACTTACACTAGACTGATCAGAATCTATAGGAAATTTTGCTTTTACTCGACGAATCATTTTACGTCTTTTATTCTCAGAAAATCCAGCATAAACAAGTAGAGAATTGGCGAATTGTACTTCAGTAATTTTTCCATTCTTTGGTTCAGCTCTTTCAAACTGAAATTTTGTTTTAAAAAAGTATACATATATAAACTTTCACAAGAGAAAGATATAGCCAATCAATAAAGACATAAAAAATACCACCTGAGCGATCAGTCATTTGTCTTTAAAAAATTGTTTATAAGCATTATTTGAATATAGCGATTTTTCGTGAAGTCCTTCTATAAAAATGTGCAAGTGATTGCCATCATGAAACTAAATCAGTCGAAAAACTATCGAAAACAACGAACTATTATAAGTTGCTGACCACAAGACCTGTTTTACATTCGGTCAATTAGGTGGGGTGATGGGCATACGGTGGGTAGAAACAACTGTCCAATGCTTTCTAGTTATAGATAGTGTTCAGTAATTCATGATGAAAACGATTGTTGATTAATGATTTGTTAATTGCAATTTAGAATAAGTGAAATAGCCAATCTAACCACTGTCTACATTGACGCATAATGTTGGCTGGTTCCAGAGTCGGTTGAAAGAAAACTAGGGACGACCAAAACAAAAATTGGTATCAATCAATGAAATCACTGACTGTCGGACTGAGTAGTGTTGGTGGCTTCAAGCTACCTGATTAAGGTCAGCGTGATTATCGTAACAAATGATTGGAGATGTAAGATGATATGTCCCAGAATCGATCGCAATGGCACAGATGCATGTACTCTTTGTCTTCCTTTGAGTTTTAAGAATATCTTGTACATTTTTTTATTTTGCGAAATCTGTTATAAAATCATGTAGTCTATTATTATTATTATTTATTATTTGAACACATGAATATTGGTACAAGAGAGCGCCAATATATATGCGCCACACAAAACAATGAGAATTCGAAGAGAAGTAGAAAAAAAACTAAGGAGCGCAAAAGAAAAAGAGAACAATGACGAAGAGATTGGAGTAAGGTAGTGTGGTAGTAACGAGGGAACGAAAAGGTACAATCAGAAGAAATCTTTCAGGTAAATGAGACACAACCACTTTTTATGAAGAAAGTAAAAGAAGGTTACAGCAGGATCGCCACTGGCTTCTATTCTGAGACATATCTGATAACGTCTCTAGCCCCTGTGTAGCACCATCTCTCAGACCCCAACCAGGGGGTCGTGAAGGACCAACAGAAGCCAGTCCTTTGCAGCTTTCTTTCATACCACGACACCATGTCATGCACTGACCACCTCTCCGCTTTTTCCAACCAGTCCCAGAGTGGGCAAATAATGCACGACGTGGAATTCTCTGGGACGACATTCGTAGAACATGTCAAAGCCACCGAAGTCGGTGTTTCAAGATGGTGACACCAATTGCATTATCGTCTCTGTGTCCGAACACACGATGCCGAACCTCTGCATTACTAACATGGTGTTGCCACTGGATGTCAGCAATCCTTCGGAGACAGCGATGATCGAACACAGAGAGTCGTCTAACGTCCTCAACTCGGAGAGGCCAGGTTTCACAAACATAGAGCAAAACTGCTCTCACCGACGCGTTGTAGATCCGACCTTTTACAGCCAGACTAACATCACGAAGGCGCCAAAGATGGCCCAGATTGGCATAAGCCGCTCTGGCTTTCATTATACGTGCATTGATCTCATCACTCACACCCCCACCAGCACTCATACAGCTACCCAGATACACGAACTTCTCGACTACTTCTATCTGCTCACCATCCAGAGTGAGTACAGGGTTAGAATCCTGCCAGTCTTGTAGAAGTACTTTGCACTTCGAAGGTGTAAAGCACATACCATACCTACGGACACTGATTGCCAACTGATTAAGTGCGGATTGCATGCCTTGGGCATTGTCGCACAGTAAGACAATATCATCCGCATACTCAAGGTCGAGAAGTCTTTCTCCAGGCAACAGATCCACACCACCATTACTTACATCCATCAGAGCTGTTTCCAGAATATCATCGATGGCAAAGTTGAAGAGGAATTGTGAGATTAGGCAACCCTGCCTAACCCCACTACTCGAATGGAACAATGGAGAAAGGTGGTTGTATGCCCTCACTCTACCTGAGGAGTTTGTATATAGGGCTTTTAGGATGTTAATAAACTTCTCAGACACACCCTTCTTCAACAGACAATCCCAGAGAACAGTCCTATCCACCGAATCGAAGGCAGCCCTGATGTCAAGAAACACTACGATTGTTGGCCTTTGAAAAGTATGGCAGTGTTCTAACATTTGGCGGAGGGTGAAGATATGATCAATACATCCTCGACCAGAACGAAACCCAGCCTGCTCCACGCGAGTCAATCTTTCTCGGGTTTTGAACAACCTACGAAGTATGACGGAAGCCAATAGCTTGGACGCAATCGGAAGTAGACTTATCCCCCGATAGTTGTTACAGAAACGACGTGAACCCTTTTTAAAGATAGGGACAACTATCGACTCATTCCATGACGTTGGTACACTCTCTAACTCCCAGACCTTTGTAAACAACGTCGTCAATTCCTTAGTCAGAATGTCACCACCATCTTTAAAAAGAGCCGGAGGCAAGTCATCTGGACCAGGTGATTTGTAACGCTTCAAGAGTTGGAGTTCCTTGCGGACTTCCGCCTCGTTTGGTGGATCAGTCGTCACCGGCCATGGAGGGCAGGACAGTCTGACCGATGTTGCCGGAGCAGCAGGCCAGTTGAACTGCCCTTCAAAAAATTCTGCCCATCGTCCAAGACGTCGATGGATGTTAGTGATTGGCATCCTATCATCCTCGCAGATTGTTTCACTCACACCAGACTTCTTGCTGCCAGTGGCTCGGATGAGCTGGAAGAGCTTCCGGTAGTTACCAGATACAGCTGCTGCTTCCAGCTCATTAGCACGCTCCGACCACCAGGCTTCCCGGTCCTTACGCAAGTTTTTCTCGATTTCCTTACGTAACATCCTTCGTTTATGGTCAAACTCACGGTCACCCGGAGTAGACCGACGGGCTTCAATGAGTTGTAAGGAACCTGGAGAAACCCAGTGCTTAAAAGCGGGACGTTTCGCAAACCCACAACTGACTGTTCCCGCCATTTTCATGGCGTCATGCAATTGCAACCAATGCTCATCTATACTTTTCGGTGGAGTGGTAGCTAGCCTAGAGGCTACCTCGGTTCGATACTTACTTGCAACAGAAGTTGCAACCAGCTTGCTAACATCAATCTTTTGGTGGTGGTCACTTCGTTGGCCACTGAAAAGTAAGGTAAGATTGGCGCAGACCAAGGCACGGTCAGAGTCCAGATAGATACTCCAGAAGGAGCGGCAGTCTTGTACACAACCACGCCAGCGGTAGCTGATCGCAATGTGATCAATATGAGTCCAGGCTTGGGATGCAGAAGGAGGTCGCCAGGTGGCACATCGGCGATGACTGTGCCGAAAGTTAGTGCCAGCCAGAAACAGGTTGTGGTCTGTGCAAAGTTGCAGTAGACGGTCCCCGTTATCTGCCAGTTTGAATGGTGCACGTAGTTTCAGAAAAACTGCTTCAGTTCTCGTATTCGGTGGTAACATACAATTTTTAACCGGACAGTGACTCGAGAACGTTTAGATACAGTCGAATTTCCACCAAAGACGAGCCGCTGTATAAGTATAAAAGAGGGTGAATAATGGGGAAAATAATAATAATAATAATAATAATAATAATAATAATAATAATAATAATAATAATAATAATAATGACAATAATAGTAGTAATAATAATAATAGTATTAATAATGACAATAATTGTAATGATAATAATCTGAATCAATTGTTTGTTTTTCAAAGCGAGAAAAATAATTTCCATAGGCATAAAGAGTTCATCAATTTGTGTGTGGGCTGTGATACTGCCCGGGTGCCCAAACCGAAGCAGGTGGTTATCTTAGGGGGCCACTCCCCGAGCCTTTGACCTAAAGGTCTAACCCACAAGGCAGTGGAGCATCGTAAGGAGATGCAGTCCCATGGTAGCCGGTGACCAACGATTGGTTCATACGCCATTTGTTCCCGCAGGATACTGGAGCCCATGTGCACCATTGATTTGGAATCCGGTTAAAGCGCCGGACATTCGCTTTTCGTCCTCTCATTTTCGTAAACAACACCCCCGCCACGAGAAGGCAATGAGTAGGACTTCCCTGGCAGAGGCTGTATACAGTCTTGTTTATAATTATTGATACTGCTACGAATTATACTACTTGGAGATTTATTTTGATAATTTCAACTCTGTGCTTAAATGATGCGGTTACTTAAACCGATGTGTACACGTATGCCGGGCTGTGAATTTTATGTGGCTGATTGATTGTTATGATGGTTTATCATGATTGGTAAGACAAAATCTTAGATTTTCAAAATCAACTAGTAGATACTAATCAATAGACGGACGTAATGATAGGATGTGTGGCCTAGTGACAGACACTCACGAGACCGTAAGATTGATTAAACCCATTGAATGATTTGAAATCAAAGAAAATAATACTAATAGCCAGAAAATAGGTTTTCTAATGTGATAAAACGGAATACTTATGTAGAAAATATTAGCAGAAAAAATAACATGATAAGATGTCATAGGCTATTACAGAAAATACATTTGTAGGCCTTTTATTCTCCAATTAATCAAGAACCGGCTATTAGACCTAAGTTTTGGACATGGTATCAATGGCTAAAGCGGTCAGTTCTATACCAATAATGGTTTCTTATCGTCAAAACAGTAATTAATAAAAGTTACAGATACTTGTGGTCGATAATTTGTCACAATTAAAGTTAATAGAAAATCGCATGATATGAAAAATCCATCTTAGCGGCTAAAACGTGAAACAGCGTAAGGACCAGTTTTATGGATGTTGGTACAAAGACATATCTTCATTGATATTTATATATATAACTAATAAAAAGACTAACTTCTAGACGCATAATCTCCTCTTGTAAATCAGAGTGAAATTGAAGAAATTTACTGATTGGCAACTTCTGATCGCCGTTTGGACCAAAGAAATAGCGTTTGAAAGCACTATTAGAACTACCTGGTTTCAAAGTACAACCTGTTGTTAAATTATCACGATGACGACGACCCATGGCAGTAGTGCCCATAATTACCGAACGAACCTGATAAAGCAAAAGATTGTTAACTGGTTATTATTAATATATAAAAAATATTTGTTTCATCCATCTACAAATTTATTTCATTCTATTCTATTAAAACAATGAATGGAAACGATAATAAAAATAGACTTGAAATAACTAAAAAAGGTTTCGGATGTCGCACATAGAGATGAGCTATTATTATACGATCAGCATCAGTACTATATTGAACGAAAACTTTGTGGGGATAACCAATATCTTGTTTGTTGCAAAAATCACAGTGGCATAGTAAAATATGAAAACCAAACAATAAATACATCATTTGAACATTTGATTGTTTCTTACAAAAGTGATCATTTTTTCATTTCTCCTCTCTTCTCCTTTCCCTCTTCTGTCAGTAAGAACCTACTTCCCATGCCAGATACATATTACTTATTTCCGTCAGTATACATAGCACATATCACATTATTATTGCTATTATTATTATTATTATTATTATTATTATTATTATTATTATTCATGAAAATCTTATCAAACTGCGTAGTTGCTGTCTAAAGAAATCTCACCATGTATTGAGAAACCTCGGTTGAACTTTCCCAATTAACCAAACTTATAGCATTACCGAGTGTTCGTTTATCAAACAAAGTGCGAGTGTAGTGCTCAGCAGCCTACTATCCATTACTCTATAATTGTGAACATGGTCTATTAAAGTAAGAGACAAGAGTGTGCTACAGGCTTTTGATCATAAGTATCTTCGAAACATTGCGCGTATGTGATGGGATAACCAAGTGAGCAGTCTTGTGGTTAAGCACAGGATTCTAAACAGAGTTGGTAAATAGGTTGATGAGGTTGTGAATATTCGTCTACTGAAATGGTTAAAATATATGTTATGTATGCCGAACCGTCACCTACATCGCCGGACGATGTTTGTTGTGACAGGTGTATTTCGGGAGAGAGATAGGAGCGAGTAAACCATGAAATGAAATCAATTTATGAAGTCAATGAATTTTTGTCTGAACCATGTTGGTAGATGCATATTACATGATTGAGATTTTCGTAGAAACTTTACGCACCATGGCTGACGATGACGAAAGACAAGAATAAAAAGTATATATATTCAATATTAACTTACAACTTCAAACTCGTTTATGTCTAATTCCCCATCTCCATTAATATCAAACATACGAAAAGCTATTTCAAACTGTCGACGAGGTGCTTCAAGAAAAATTATTAATAAGCAAAAAAGTAACTGTGATATAAAATGCCAGTAGAGAATCATATTTAAAACGAGAGGTAAATAATTACACATGAAATTTTAAACACATTAATGATGATTATGGATCAGTAAAGGATTTTATTTGCAGATATTAAATGCCTAAATATCTTCACCAGGTTGTCTACGTGCACCTATTCAGAACCTTGTGGCTTCTTTGTTAGATTTGACTGAGGTCGGAATCACACTAAGCTCCAGAGCGGCGGAAGTTCTAGCCGACTATATCCTCATTAACAATTGTTTATGAGCTAGTAGATTAGAAATCTTCATTAAAAGGGAAAAAAGCGAGTTGGAAACGATGTCCTTTCTTCATCTACACTAAAGCATCGAAAGACTATGACGTGAGTGGAATCTAGAATGAGTTACACTATCAGTTAAATGATCTCAACAGAGTACTTTCGACAGACACTGTAGTGATAGCTGGAGGTTTTAATGAGCAGGCCAGGTGTTTGGATGGATAACAGGGACTCATTGGTTACAGGTCAAACAACAGTGATCATCTCTTGTGGCTTTTTGCAGAGAACAATCTGCTTTTGACCAGCACTAACTTACGTGTTACATGAGGTCCTCCATCTGTAAACCAAGTCTTCACTCGGACTAATCACACAGAGATCAGCTATCGCTGGTATGGTTGTGTACAGTGCGTTTGTTAACTGTCTGTAAAAGCTGAAATCATAATTACATTGAATGTGTGTGGAATCACATAACATATTCACAGCTATACGGTTTTCGTTCTTACGATAATTGAAGCTGATTGAAGATGACACCATTTAGAAAACCAGACGGTATGAAACTTACAATCCCAGTACTTCATACTTAAAGTCACGTTTAAATATTAGACAAATAATCAAAAAAGTTCTGAGTGAATGCTTTTACACTTCTGTGGAGCATCAAATAAACTGACTATGGAATCAGTTTTTATAATATTTATTCCGATCAACTGGCAGTTACAACCAATTTACAAATTTTTGTTAGTTATCCGAATAAGAACTAATTGTGACACTAAGGATACATTTCAAGGCAAATAGCAATTAAAAATTTATAATTAACAAACAGAATAACATTAATTTGTATCATTGGAATTGTTAAACAAGATCTATCTATGCTATTCGTCAACCTGATCTATTGACCTAAAGCATATTTTTCTTATGCTTTCCGAAGAAACCTAAATTATCATTGGGGTCCGAATCACTCTTATAATTAGGGAAATTCACCTTAGCATGGTTGTTATGCAGTAATAATTGGTTAGTATCAATTAATCATTCCAATCACATTTATATAAAGTTCACTATATACATTCAGTTTTGGACATTAGTGTGTAAGGGTTCATCTGGTCAAAGTTACTTATATCATAAAAGAATGAGAAATCAACAGAAAAATAAACAACAAAATGAATAAAATAAAAAATCAATCTCTAATATTTGAGCAATTACAAAACTTACTCGAAAGTACAGTTAATAGGAATATAAAATCAGTAAATGTGATTAAAGCTTGATCACAAAGCTTATAAAATACTGATTCTTTAGGTATGTCCAAATTTAATTTTTCACTCTATAAATAACAAAAATCAGATAAAAAATAATAGACATGACTAGGTGTTAATTAAAAATTAAAACTACAATTCACCTTATTAACATGAGTTGAAAAGAGTCACAACCGTACATTTTGCTAAACGCAGTATACATTTAAAGATAAGGACTAGAGTTGAGTAAATAATTAGACTAAGCCTTCAAAATCAAACTGCATTTACTTTGGTTCAATAGTAGTTGGGTTGTATGTTTGATAAAAGTATACCATACTGACAACCTTGAGGGACTTATCAGTTGATCAGGAAACGTTACCTAGTTATAAAGCAATTAGCAATAAAAGACGATAACATCACAATGGGATAGTAGTTTTGATACGACAAATAATCCTTTATATCTTAACTTATCAATTATTGTAAAAGAAAAAGAGTATTTTCACATATTACAGTTTGGGCTAATGCTGTAAGTTGGGGTTATAGCCTCATAAGGTATTCGTCACCAATTGACATCAATTATAATGCAAAAAGATTAGGGTTAGATAGTAAGAGTAAGACTAGAACAATATGTTGGGATTATGCAATAAGTTTAAGGTATTTTTTCACGAATTGACATCAGCTATAATACAGTGATAAAACAAAGGACGGAATCACAATCAACGTTATCCAATGTTATACACCCATTAATGGCCAAGGGTGGAGAGAGTTCACTCACTCACTCTCTCTCTCTCTCTCGAAATGCTCTCACATGGCCACTCTTTTTTACAAACTTAAAACCAATGAGGTTGAAATTTAAAGTCAGGAGTTAGAGTGGGAGAATAGTGTCTAGTTGTACAAGCATACTTCACCATGCACTAAATCAAGTATTTTAACACCCGATCTGCATCACGAGATATTTATTTAAATCTAACTTAAACACCATATCATATCTTCTCTTTGGTTGCATTATAAATATTTTTATGAATTTCAAGAATTTTATGAACCGAATAATCAATTTTTATATAGCTACTTACAACACAAACTCCGCCTGTAGCTCTTCTAGAGTTACTGCCGGTCCCAAGCCCGGGTGAAGGAGGAGGGTTGAGCATGGGGTTAACGTCCCCATCTCGTAGAAAACTAACTCGTTAAAAAAACGCTTACCAGAAAAATAATTCAAACCATTTTAACTCTGCCCTGGGAGTTAGAAGGTCTTCATTTAGAAGAATTATGACGCTTCATGGTGAAAGCCGAGTTCCTTCGGAAGCCACGAGGCCGATGCCCCTTCTAACAACCAGAGCAAAAATTTTTATAGGTACATGGAACATCCGAACAATTTGGGAGATCGGGAAGACCAGTCAAATAGCAACGGGAATGAGGAGATACAACTTGGCAGTACTGGAAGTCAGCGAAACCCATTGGACCCAAGCTGGACAACAGAGGCTAAATACGGGAGAGATGATGCTATACTCCGGTCACGAAGAGGAAAATGCTCCACACACTCAGAGAGTTTCTCTAATGCTGTCCAAACTGGCACGAAATGCAATTGTAGGATGAAAAATCTCACGAATCCAGAATCATCAAAGCATCATTCAAAACAAAGAAGGAGGGAATTACAATGAATGTTATCCAGTGTTATGCACCCACCAATGATAGCAACGACGACATTAAAGATCAGTTCTAAGATAGGTTGCGATCAATCATAGCGAAGTGGCCAAGAAAAAAATCACCATTCTGATGGGAGATCTAAACGCCAAAGTCGGAATAGACAACACCGGATATGAAGATATGAGACGACATGGACTGGGAGAGATAAACGAAAATGGAGAAAGATTTGCAAATTTATGTGCATTCAACAAATTGGTCATAGGCGGCACAATACTCACACACAAACGTATACACAAGGCTACATGGATCTCACCGGACCACACTACAGGGAACCAGAAAGATCATATTTACATCAACAAAAAATTCCGAAGGACAATGGAAGATGTTAGAACCAGGAGCGGTGCTGACATAGCTTTAGATCACCATCTAGTTGTAGCCAATTTAAAACTGAAGCTAAAAAAGAACTGGACAACTGGACAAACAGCACTACAAAGGTTCAACAGAGCCTTCCTTCGAGAAACTGACAAACTCAATGAATTCAAGATAGCTCTCAACAGCAGGTTCCAAGCCTTACAAGATCTACTGAAGAAAGAAGAAACTACTGTGGAGGACAATTGGAAAGGTATCAAAGAAGCATTAACTTCAATGTGTCAAGAGGTTCTGGGCCTAAAGAAACACCATCATAAGGAGTGGATCTCTATAGAAACTCTGGACAAGATCAAAGAAAGGAAGAACAAAAAGACAGAAATTAACAACAGCCGAACACGAGCAGAGAAAGTCCAAGCACAAGCTGAATACACAGAAGCAAACAAGCAGGCGAAGAGGAGCATTAGAACCGACAAGAAGAAGTACGTGGAAGAATTAGCAACGACGGCGGAAAAAGCTGCAAGAAAAGGAAATATGAAACAGCCTTACGATACAACGAAGAAACTAGCAAAAAAATACAGTAAACCAGAGAGACCGGTCAAAGACAAAGAAGGCAGGCCAATCACTGAAATTCAACAACAGCGGAACAGATGGGTAGAGTACTCCGAGGAACTCCTGAATATGCCGGCTCCAATGAATCCACCGGACATCGAAGCAGCACACACAGATCTCCCTACAGACGTCAACCCACCAACGAAGGAAGAAATCAGAATGGCCGTCAGACAAATCAAGAACGGGAAAGCAGCGGGACCCGACAACATACCAGCTGAAGTCAGACATCTAAGTAACTACAAACATGCTTCACCTTCTATTCAAAAAGATTTGGGAGGAGGATTAAGTGACGATGGACTGGAAAGAAGGGCACCTCGTCAAGATTCCAAAGAAAGGAGATCTGAGCAAATGTGAAAACTACAGAGGCATTACACTACTGTCAATACCAGGGAAGGTCTTTAACAGAGTGTTGCTGAACCGGATGAAAGATGCAGTAGACGCCCAACTTTGAGATCAACAAGCTGGATTCCGTAAGGATCGATCGTGCACAGACCAAATTGCAACACTACGGATCATCGTCGAACAATCAGTTGAGTGGAACTCGTCACTATACATCAACTTCATTGATTATGAAAATGCATTTGACAGTGTAAATAGGAGGACGTTATGGAAACTTCTTCGACACTACGGAGTTCCTGAGAAGATTGTCAATATTATCCGGAACTCATACGACGGACTACAATGCAAAGTCGTGCATGGAGGACAGCTGACAGATGCATTCCAAGTAAGGACTGGAGTCAGACAAAGGTGTTTACTCTCTCCCCTCCTCTTTCTTCTGGTGGTCGACTGGATTATGAGGACCTCGACATCTGAAGGGAAACACGGCGTACAATGGACAGCTCAGAATCAATTAGACGATTTGGACTTCGCAGATGACCTAGCCCTCCTATCACATACACATGAACAAATGCAGATAAAGACAGCCAGTGTAGCAGCAGTCTCTGCATCACAGTAGGCCTCAGCATACACAAAGGGAAAACCAAGGTCCTCAAATTCAAAGCGGAGAACAGCAATTCAACCACTCTTGATGGCGAAACTCTGGAAGATGTAGAATCCTTCACATACCTGGGAAGCATCATCGATGAACAAGGAGGTTCAGATGCAGACGTAAAGGAGAGGATTGGCAAAGCAAGGGTCGCATTCCTACAATTGAAGAACATATGGAACTCAAAACAACTTTCAACCAATATCAAAGTCACAATCTTCAATACCAACATCAACACATTTCTACTGCACGGAGCTGAAACTTGGAGAACTACAACAACTATCATCAAGAAGGTGCAAGTATTTATAAATAGTTGTCTACGCAAGATATTAAACATACATTGGCCGGATACTATCAGCAACAGCCTCCTATGGGAGAGAACAAACCAGCTTCCAGCTGAAGAGGAAATTAGGAAAAGACGATGGAAATGGATAGGACATACACTACGCAAATCATCAAACTGCATCACGAGACAATCCCTAACTCGGAATCCTGAAGGGAAGTGGAAAATAGGAAGGCCAAAGAACACATTACGTCGGGAAATAAAAGCAGATATGGAAAGGATGAATAGCAACTGGAAGGAGCTGGAAAGGATTGCCCAGGACAGGGTTGGATGGTGAATGCTGGTGAGCGGCCTATGCTCCTTCACGAGGAGTAACAGGCGTAAGTAAGTAACCTACAACACAAATGTTGTCCGGAACAGGGCTTTTGATTTCGCGCAAAAATAGCTGAGGAGCCGTCTTACTTTTGACTGGTTCACTTAAGGCCGTCAACATGGTATAATTGTATTGTGTCTTTAACACATATAATTATTACATAACGAAATATATTTTTATATGAATAGAATATCTGAAAATCATTAAATCGCTGCAATTAAATAGTTCGAAAGCTTTTGTGAGTCCTCCTCAGCTCAACTAAATGACTGACACAACAGTATTTGATAACTGAAATTAGGGAGCGTGAATATCTGAAATGATAAGGATAGTCAATGAAGCCGCTCACACATGTGAAAACATCTAGGAAATTCTGAAAAACATAAAAGCATGATGAGATAAAGATAGCAATGTTTTTGCTGTTTTATTTGATTACGTGACTGAAGTTGTATATTCCGTTGTAATATCACGCACCATTTAGTGGAATGAACATCATCACAACAGATTCTTTAATAATGATCAGTGAGTGACTATAAACAACATGACCAAAAGATAAATAATTACAAAGCAAAAGCCAGTGACTATCAAGATTAAGAGAGAGCATTATGATTACTTTGCTTTTCAGTTGATATAGATTATTAATAATAAATTATCGTAGAAACAGACAATTACGATTAATATAGAGCCTGGAACAAGTGTGCATGACTCCAAGTTGTCATACCACATTACCACGATGAGACGAAAATAACAATGCGAATGGTAAAGGATAAAGTAATGCGGCAGAGACAGTTCAGTTGGTCTGCTGCTCCGGTGACATCGATTAAACTGTCCTGTCCTCCAACGCCGGCAACGACTGACCTACCTAACGAGGTGGAAATTTGAGAGGAACTCCAATTCTTGAAGAGCCACAAATCACCAGAATCAGATGACTTACTTCTGCCTCGTTTTAAAGATGGTGGGGGATTGAGAGTATATAATAATCTCTCTCCATTGTTCCATCCAACCAATGACATCCTAGAAACATCTCTGATGAATGTAGGTTACGGTGGTGTAAATTGGCTGCCTAGAGAGACTTTTCGACCCAGAGTATGCGGAAGACATTGTTATACTATGTGATATAATACGCAAGCCGTGCAATAAGCACTTAATGAGTGTGCGTAGGTATGGTATGCGCTTTGTGCCTTTTTAGGGCAAAGCACTTTTACAAGACTGCCAGGAGCCTGTCTGAACTCATTCATAAAAGTAATCATTTGGAAGTAATTGAGAATCCCGTTCATTCGGGCAATTACGTGAGTGATCATATCAATTCACGTATAATAAAAGCCAGAGAAGCTTATGCTGATTTGAATTATATTTGGTCTCTTCGTATTTTAAGTCTGGCTGTAAAAAGTGGGGTCTACATGTTGGTGAGGGTAGTTTTGCTTTACGCTTGTGAGACTTAGTCTCTGTGGATAGAAGATGCTAAAGGATTCTGTAAACGATTATCGGTGTCTTCAAGACTTTGTCAACATTCAATAGTAACGGTCTGTTGGTAATGCTAAGGTTCGACAAGGTGTGTTCGGACAGCGTCATGATAACTCAATCAAAGTAACTATCCCGAAACCTAGGCTTCAGTAGCGCAAACATGTTATATGAATGTCACTAGCGGCTTCTGTATGGCGCAGTAATTTCCGAGGCTGGGACTGGGTTAGAGAAAACGGAGAGATGATTAGTATATGAGATGGTGTTATGGTATGACCGGATTCTGTTGAACCTTCACATCTTCCTAATTGATGCCAAGGTAGTCGGGGTCCGGCAGATGGTGCGACTCAGTGGCTTGAGACGTTATCAGATATGTCTCAGAATAGAAACCAGTATCGATCCTGCTGTAACTTTCTTCATGAAAGTAACTTCTTGGACTGAAAGAGTCCTTTCCCGTTGTATTTTTCTTAACTGAACGGCTTCTTCCATGATTATAATTATAATTATTATCATTTCACTCTAATGCACTAGTTTCCATTCGTTTTTGGCCTTTTTGATGATACTCATCTTCCTTTCTCTCTCTTTACAATCTCATTTTTATTGTGTGGAGCACATATATTTCGGTGCCTCTTTTACCAATGTTTATGTTTTCAAACAAATAAATAAGTGATGATAATATAGAAGAGTAAACATTAGGAGTATCGTACTAACAAACAGTGAAAAGGTAGGTATGGAAGGATGTTGAAATTCAAGATAACGAAAAAGATAAAGGTCAAGTACACAAGTCCCATCGTGAACCAAGTCACACAATGTCCCCGACTACTGATTACAATTGTCACAAAAACCCCAACCCCGTAATCTACATCTACCAACATGGTTCAGACAAAAATTCATTGACTTCATAAATTGATTTCATTTCATGGTTTACTCGCTCCTATCTCTCTCCCGAAATACACCTGTCACAACAAACATCGTCCGGCGATGTAGGTGACGGTTCGGCATACATAACATATATTTTAACCATTTCAGTAGACGAATATTCACAACCTCATCAACCTATTTACCAACTCTGTTTAGAATCCTGTGCTTAACCACAAGACTGCTCACTTGGTTATCCCATCACATACGCGCAATGTTTCGAAGATACTTATGATCAAAAGCCTGTAGCACACTCTTGTCTCTTACTTTAATAGACCATGTTCACAATTATAGAGTAATGGATAGTAGGCTGCTGAGCACTACACTCGCACTTTGTTTGATAAACGAACACTCGGTAATGCTATAAGTCTGGTTAATTGGGAAAGTTCAACCGAGGTTTCTCAATACATGGTGAGATTTCTTTAGACAGCAACTACGCAGTTTGATAAGATTTTCACGATTAGTGACTTCTCACATGCCTCAGATCTTACGGACACCTGAACACATAACAAAATCATAAGTAGCATGACAAGGACTATAGACAAAACATCGGCTTTAAATTATAGTAGTTGAAGTAAAGTGCTACATATTTTAATTATCTCAGAAAAGTGAAATAATTTAGACCAACCGAGATTAGAATAAGTTAAACTAGTGATCGACAGATCATAAAATGCTTGAAGCTTTTAAGAAATAGTTTTTTCATGGAACATAACTAACGAAGATATCTAACCTAATTATGTGAAGAAAAACACACGATAAACAAATCTAATGCACGTTCAAGTATCATCATTTTAAATAAGTTAAAGCAAACCATTAAAATTAACCTCTACTGCAAATCGTATATAGAGCCTTGGAAAAATATACGCTTGATTGTAGAAAGATGGATGAAAACAGAGCAAGCCTGGTGTTATTAATGTAGTTGGATCGAACAGCTTACAGTGGACTGGTTAATGTATATACAAAAGGCTTAGGCCAGAAGCCCAGACCAATGGACCAACAGCCACGTTCCACGAAAATAAATAAAACTGTAGAAGAGTAATTTAACCCAACTTATCGATTTGTTTCACAAGTTACAGAGATTTATGCTAGCAATCAAAGTCTTTGTATTCTTAAGAAATTTGTACAATCTTTCCTCACTGTCTAATTATTTGAACATTTCTTATTACGGAACTTAAATAATTCTTAATGAATATTATTTCAGTCTACTTTTTTCCAAATTTTTTTCTTAATGTACTTCCCATTGTGAGACAGTGATTTAGGGCCTTTATTATCCTTACCACAACTAGTACACCTGTCACCATACTATCAATTTATACTTTTTAACTATTATGTTTAGTTATATTCAAGCCTGACGAAGACCTAATTGAAAACAATATTGTTCGCATATATATGTTATTTTAATTCGCGATATGGGAACTTTTAATGTATTGCGAAAAATGAAATCCTATAAATACAATCGCAGTGAACGTACCAACAGTCAATTATTTCGGTTTGTGTTTCTAACCTTTGATATGCAATAACATTCTCAAGTATTAGTGAGTAGTCTCATAGGAAAGAACTCAAGATTACCAAATTCATACCAGCAAACTAAAGAATTCAGTTAATGACTGATCTTAGCTTAACATAAAACATTCTAGTCAACAAAGGACTAACCTTGTTATGGAACCAAACTAATCCCGTCTATAGGTCAAAGGAAAAGAATGTAAGTAAATGAGTTAACGTGTAAGTTGGGCGTAAATAACAAATGAAAAGAATAAAATCAAATTACGTGAACGACACGTTTATATCGAAACGTAAAGTTAAATTTCAAATGTTGCGGATGGATACGATGAAGAACTTAAGTATATTTTTCTCCGTGATAGTGATAGATGAACTTATGTAGATCCCAATGGTTACTACATACTTATAATAAAGACCTTTTCGACGGCAATGGATAAAGTAGTGCCGTAACCGTAAGTGTAAAAAATATCTTCGGAAGGGATTTTGGAGATTTTAGTAATTTCAGTAGTTGAAATCATGGTTCAATTGAAGCTAGACCACCATGGAAAACCTGGAAGCACTGGATGGCCATCTCGTCCTAGTATGGGACTCCTTAGCAGTGCGCATCCACGATCCCGTCCCCCGCGAAATTCGAACCCAGGACCATCTGATGAGACCCATACTATGACGAAACGGCCGTCCAGTGCTTCCAGGTTTTCCATGGTGGTCTAGCTTCAATTGACTCATGATTTCAACTATTAAAAAAATATCTATTTAATAAGTACTTACAGGGAAAATAAATTCCTGGGCATGCGTTACGCCTCTTTCATGTGGACAAACGTTTGTAAATCTAACCAAGAAAAGCAAAGTGTGGAACTCGCAATGTTTTTACAGTGAAAACATATTTAGGATTGATAGTAATAGAATATCTAGATAAATGAAAACTGAGCTAAAGTACAACTTAATGAGATGTACACATTTTCTAGTTTATCATCTATGAAGATTTCTGTCATACTACAGAATTATATTCATAACCGATGACAACATCACATGCTATAAATGTTTGATGAGGAAAAGTGAGTTATATTTCGAAAAAAAATTACGACTTCACTGCACTTGGTGATAAAATGTTTTAAAGTAATGCCCCGTAAATAATCAATATTTTATAACTAACCTTTGGGTCATATCTTTTAAATGAATCCAAATCTAAACCATCAGGTTGTTTAATACCTGGGGTAATTGAACGAAGGAAGTCTTCAGGAGTCATGTAAACTGTTTCATTGTCTTCTTCTATGCTTTTAAGAGTTGCAAAATATCGGAAGATTTTGTCCGGCGTAGAATAGGCTCGAATTCGGTTTTCGTATGCAATGAACTAGTATTTTAAAAGCAATTTGTTAGCTATGAATAATATATTCCTAAACACAAATAATTTGTTATTACTTAAAAACAGGTGTTATACAGCAATCTAACGAGGTGATAGAAAAAAGGTAAAATATTAAAGAACTGTTACTTTGCCTCTTAATAAATCGGCCTGATGCACAAAAAGTTAACACACAAATATTCCCCTCAATGATAAACTGGTAAGTCACAAAAAGTGTTAAGTTGCACACAAGGCAATAGTGAAGATTTGAAGTATCAGATGTTTTCGTATTTAAAAAAGATATTGGATTTATTATTAATGTAACTCATTGACCAAATACGGGGTTATATAATGCTTTAGGTAACGCTGTTTGAGTGAATTCTAGTGACAAGCAGTAGCACCATAACAGGATAAGGGATATTGTCAAAAAAGTCTAACTACTACACTACCTGTGATCACTCCCCATGTTCAAACAAACCAATTCTAGAAAAGCAATTAGAGGGGAAGAAATATATCTCAAATATCCTTACACTGGCAACCAAGGTGTTCAATGGACTCTATATCTTTAGTACTCCAAGTCAGTGAGTGAATTTCAAGGGAGATTAATCCCCAGAAAGTTAGGTAAATCAAGTGTATTTTTAAGAAGACAGCTCTAAAAAAACTAAATAAAGCTGTGGATAATAGGCAGCTTAACGAACACTACAAGAAGTGACTAATTCCGATGTCCATTTGCTATAAGCAATAATCCAATCAATTGCATTGGAATACGGAGCTATCAGGTCTGTGTACTTCAGTACGTCTTCTGATGACAAGAAATAGCACAAAACTACTTGATCGACGGAGTCACATGTCACCTCAAGGTAAAAAATACGAACTCAGAAACCTAAAAAACGTTAAACGATTGGGTGATATGTTCACGATTAGGTTTGAACTAACCTGGTTTTCCCAATGTTTTTGCACGTGAGCCTTAAGCATCGAACCGATTCCTCTATGGTTATCTTCCTAGCTATTGTCTTAGTCAGCATACATTCCCTAACTGAAACACCTCTAACAAGTCTATGGAGTTAACCCATTAGGTCCTGATGCACTTCCTCGCTTTATACCAAATAGGTGGAACGAGCCTGAGTGTTAAGGTATGGCTAAACCCGTTGGTTTATATGCACGTCTATTAACTTTCCAACTTGTTACCGGGAAGCACTGTCAGTAAAATGCTACGACTTTTGTGCAATATATTTCAAAAATAATTGAGATGAACTTCGTATAATTCCCTTCCCATTCATTCTTGAGTTGTATATATTCTATTATTTTATGTACTTCGTGGTGAGTAAAGTTAGACTCAAATATGTCATCAATAGATAGCGCCACTGACTATTCGGAATGAGTATCGAGAAATATGGAGTTCTAGGATGAAATCCTGGGGACGATGGGCATAAGTCATGAGTGACATAGCTTAGAATTGGTCACAATGAAACAAGCAGATTCACTTTATAACTTCATTCTACATCTCCAACATCAGTCCTTATTTTCTGACTCATGTTGGCACTGGTAAGAGAAAGAAAACCAGAAGAAAGTATGAGTTACTAAGACACTTTGCAACCAAAAAACATAATTTACCAACAAACAAGTAATTCTTGGTTAGATATTTTCGAAATACTTATATATTCGTGTGAGAAATAACTCACACATTCGGACAAAAACTTTCGAAAAGTATGCTTTCAGATGAATAGAATGAACATGAACACAGAAAATATAATAAGCCACCTTAAAGTTACGCAGGTTTATTAACCGAATAAAATACGGTTGATGAAAGTTATTAAGTACCTTCCTGTCTCGAAATCCAGCATGTTTTTTTCTTACCGAGTCGTTTTGATGTAGCTGTTCCTCATCTGTGTCAGAAACCTCTGACTGACATTTGGCATTTGTCACATTACATACCTGAAATAAGTTAACTCAATAAAGGGTTGACACACCTTCTTTTTCGCACCATTGTCATTATTGGACTTATAAACCTTCCGTTCTAAATAAGGGAAGCTGAAAAATAATTAAAAATACATGCAAGCTTACCCTACAGAAATAAATAGTAAAAGTACACACGTTAAAGCGCCAAAGTAGTATACGTCGTAATAAGTTTCTAGTTTTCTAGGATATGCATTTTTGTAATGAGTGTAACGATTACGGTAAGGACCGTGTATAGTAATTCTTTGTTGAAACGTTATACAAGGATCCCACTTCAAAAAATAGCAAAATGATATTTTGGAAAAGGAACGTCTGCCAAAAGACCCAAGAAAATGTCGCGATAAGTGACAGAACAGCATCTAGTTAGTTCTTCGAGAATGTACAGTTTAACTTGACCTTCGAAAAATTAGCAATCCAATTGAACTGATTGTCTTCAGAGAAACTAATGCTACACCGATAACAATCTAAGAGTGTGTATTGACTGGAGTGATCTCTTCCAAAAAACAGCAACCGTGATTCTTTGTCGACGCTTCCTTTTTTTAGCGTTGCGGTCGCTACTCTCAAAAAAAACAGCCCAGAAAAAGTTTATTCAAATAATTCAAATTTATAGAATGAACATGTTGACAATGAGGCTGAGCGGGATACGATTTTCCACAAGTTAATATTTTTCCTAAATTAAGACCTAAAAAAATTAGAAAAAGAGGTTATTTAGACTAGGTGATGAAGAGTGAAATACGCTAGTTTTGCGCAATTCTAATATTAATGTGCTAACTTAAGGTTTATGATAATCAAGTTATCATATAATGATACATTTAACCCCAGCTAACAATAACGTCCAACGAAAACAGAAAGTACAAGCATGTCGTTCGAGAAAGCGAATTCGTTGTTCAAATTATTAATGAATGGTATGATTAGCTGATGAGTGAAAGCTATCACGATATGTACGCAAAAAATCGCTTAAGATTTAGTTCCATAGTCTAGGTTATTTTTCAATAATGTTAAACAGTTCCGTTATTTTTGTTAACCTACTCATTATATTCTGAATGGCAAAGCTGATTGGAATTTTAGTGACAGTGGAACTGGAATGTGTTTGCTAAAAACAATTTTGAAGCTAGCATGCAAATATTAAAGTTACTATACTGGTGCATTGTAATCTAGTATTTATTCAGTTTTAAATGTCGTTTGACAACAACGTTTTTGTTGACTGAATTTTTAGGGATTGATCTCATTCCAGGAGGTTCACTCATCGACTTACAATACGCAGATGACATAGTCCTGTTTGGTGAGGACGCTGATAAAATGCAGTCTTTTGTTAGAACTAAGCAACAATGCCAGAATAATTGGAATGCGCTTCTCTCCCTCTAAATGCAAATTGTTGCTTCAGGACTGGTCTGCATCAACTAAGGATACGTAGTGAAGTAGTCGAACGCGTTGACAACCTCACTTTGAAGTCTGTCCGCCATGATGGGTTGATTCGAAAAGCTCGTTTGGCTATTGCCAACTTACGTCACCTATGTCGAAGGCGAGATATCCTTTTATCAATTAAAGAACGAGTATAATGCGCAGCAGTTCTTTCCGTTCTACTTTACGGCTTCGAAGCGTGACCATTAAGGGTAGAGGACACTCGTAAGTTACTAGTAGTTGACCACAGATGTCTTAGAAATATTGCTGGGATCACTGGGTAAGTAATAGTTAGGTTAGACACAGCGTATTTGGGAATGATGATAAATCAGTTGATGAGGTTGTGAATCTTCATCGACTGAGATAGTTGGGCCACGTGTTGCGTATGCCTGAACACCGATTACCACGACAAGCAATGCTAACCGGTGTTCTGGATGGTTGGAAGAAAGTTAGGGTCGGCCAAACCAAAATGGGGCATCAGTGCTTGGAGTCACCAACTTCTGGTCTGAGCCATGTTTGTAGATGGATACGACTTGGTTGTGGTCCGCGTGACTATCGTAACCAATGGTTGGAGACTGTGTGACATGGCTCAGAATCGATCACAATGGCGTCGTAGGTGTACATACTTTCTGTGTTCCTGTTACCTGTGAAATTAAAATTGCTCAATGCCTTTCTTTGTACGAAATAATTCTTTCTCCCTGTATCATGTCCTTATATGCAATATTTTTTATATATTACTTCACAGAGAGCCATACACAGCATGTCATATAGAATAGTATTACAGGATGATCTCAACTCATTGGCGGCATGGATGTATGCGTGGTCACTAGAAGTGAATCCTAACAAGATTGTGGTGAGGCTGCTGCTGCAGATGTCTGTGGTGCATTATGGTCTATTCATAGGTCTTTCCAGTATTTGGATGAAATGTTTGGATTATTAAACCGGACTTTCGTGCAACCACATTTAGAATATGGGATTCAAGCAGCGAGTCTTCGTTTCAAGTATAAGGCGAGTATGCTGGAACGAGTCCATTGACGAGGGACTAAAATGGCCAATCTTATGAAGACAGACTGAGATACCTTAACTTATTTCCGTTATCTTACCGTAGAATACGGGGCGATCTAATATTGGCTCGTCATATACTGAACGATGACCTTGGTATTAACGTCTTATCGTTTTCTTCCGTATGAGACTGATCATTTGACAGGACATTCGAAGAATGTTCGAAAGCTGAGATCAAATCGTCTACGTCTGGAGTTTCGTTTCTCGCACTGAGTAGTGAATTACTGAAAGTCTCTGCCGGGGCAAGTAGTAGTAGCACCTTTTGTTGATATATTCAAAACGGGAGTGGGCCTCCACAGTGTTATAAACTGCAAGGATCAATATAGGTCGATAGACCCATCCTTATTACTGAAGTAACTACTATAAATTTCGTGTTCATATTGTGCTAATAAGGTGTGGCAACTTGGACCAACGCATACGTGCCTGATCCTACATGGTAGCTGAATGACTGACTGAGTTTCGACTGTCTCTCACCTAGGTCTCAAATTAAAACCGGAAAATTTTGTGATCAATTAGTAACTGAATAAGTTTCTCAATGACATGGCTGGGGGCAACAGCTATGTACAAATAGAGCCTTGTCAACATCACGACTATATAAAAGCATAATTCCTTAAAGCAAATGACTTAACAAAGTTATCTGTTCTATTCTCTAGTTATAAATATCAGTATTTGGAGATCTATATAGTGCATAACCGATAGGATAATATTACAGGACCCGAATTCACTTGTTCAGAGAATTGATAGGTTGACGCCGGAAATTAATCCTAACAAGGTCATCTGTAGTGAAATATACATGAATAATTGTGGCGAAACATTGCTGATACATCCAAAAGTTGTGATTGGATTATCGCATCACTAAAAATGCGAGAAAAAGTATGAACCGTTTGATCTACAATACTAAACACTGAAGACTGCGCCTTAGCCAGTAAAACTTCTCATATCGAAAGGCTGAAGTGTTTAGTGATATTGAGGAAGTATCAATAGCCATAAAACCAGCTTTTTTGAAACAAAAATAGATTAAACCAGAGATACGAATGCCAGGTAATATTCACAAGAAACTAGACGAAGATGAATCATACGAACGAGGCAGGTGTTCACAATATCGCACTGCTAGTTTTTTTTATTTCACAGAGCATTCTAGTTTGTAGAAAATCGTATTTAGAAACTAGTAAAGCTTTAGCACGGATTTAAATTTTTTAGACGAAGATATGCGAAATACGAAATCAGACAGATGTCACAATGCATTTCAGAGCCTGTTTCATTCCACAACAGCAAAATATATATTCTGATTATAATGAATTAAAAACAGAAAACGAACTGACTTCTGACCGCGCGTAAAACTTTGTTTGCTGCGCGAAACGCATTACATTGAAAACGCTCATAATAACTAAAGAGTGAACATTTGAAACTGAATTTTGATACACATTCCAGCACTAGTCGTTTAAAGTTTTCCACGGGTTAGCTTGTTTGAAATGATTGTTATCCTAGTTACCGGCGGTCCACTTAAAGTTCAATAGTCTCTTGGTCGTCATGCGTAGGACAGACTCGCCAATTACTTCAAACGGTTATAGAAACAGCGTATCACCCAGGAGTCGTCGATACAGTCGGTCTCGATCTCGTTCCAAGTAAGTTAATATTGCGTGCAAGCGTATTTCAGATCACACTCGCGTCGCTACAGGAGTCGCAGCGGAAGTCGTGACTTTTATCGTCGCAGCCCTGGCTACGGATATAGAAGTTCCGGCCGAAAGTAAGTCTTACATTCTTCCAAGCATGTTATTTCACATCTTATACATGTACACTCATTTTACATAATTTTCTTGTAATTCTGTAACAGTTAGACCAAAATTCATGTAGTTTACCGATTCCCCATCATCCATCTTAAACCTGCTCATAAATTCTCTTTTGTCAATTTCGGACTCGCCAAGTCGTTGTTCCAACTGTACCAAACTCACGACAGTAGTCAGCTTTTTGAAGTCAACAGCCATACCCTACAGCAGTGTAAATCCTTTCCCAGATGGCACACTGGTGCGGTCAGTTGACTTGCTATGATACTATTAATGAGTTTATAATTACTTGTGTGTATGTATGCGTTACCTATTTTGAGAAGTTAATCATGTTACGCGCAGAATCACTAGCAAATCAACACAAGAATTTATCTCTATCATAGTTCAAAACTATGATTTTCCTATTTCGGGATTCACAAGGAAAACCGGCGAGACCATCATTTGTGAACGAACCAGTCAGATATAAAATAACAAGTCGCAATTTCTTGGGCAAAATTCATTCAGACATTGGACTAAGTAGAGTTTTGGCATCATAGGTGATTTCAATTCGTGAAGAAAACCCGTAATCCAACTTTTTAATCGAGCCATCAATAGTAAATGACAATTTTAATTGCTTTTTACCCTCGGTCCTAATCGGTCGGTGTACACTCACAAGCGTTGCTCAAACATCGTCCATAAATTATACTCCCAATTCAGTGATTTTCCTTAACGTGGTTCTCATCCCAGTTTATCTAACAATATTCCTAAAGTTGTAACATTTCACATTTTCTAACTGTCAGTCAGTATTGTCATATGTTATTGTCCTTGCTAGCCTTTGCACATTAATCACTTTATTCTACACTCGCTTAAGCGTTATAGCGGTTCTCAAACTCGAGATATTTGACTAAAGCATACCATTTCGAGATGATGTTTGCAATTTTACCTATGAATAAGTAATTATGTTTATCTATTAGTCAGTCGTAGTGTGAAACCTGAAATGTGTGTTACATCAAATTAGTATACCAAGATTATACTATGGAAACAATTCTCAAACTAATGCGATTGGTAATAGAAAAGACCTTAAAATATACGAAATCTAGATCAGTAGTCACGATAATTATGCGGACAGAACTGCCCAGTCTGCATACGCCTACATGCCTCAATCCCGTTATAAACAAACTAATGTCAATACGTTGTAACCTCTTAATTGTTCTAGGAAATCTCATCAACCCATGTTGAGTTTGTCTGACGACTGTTTTGGTCACTTTCTGGCATCCATACTACACAGCAACTTACTGTATTTCTCCGTAGATAAAAGACAAATGGCGTGTGAACGTATGAGACCTGTCATTTGCATGTTTTTCATGATAAGTGTCTTCGAGACAACTCATGCAGTATGACTAAAAAAGTCGGTCATATTACTCGGTAGTTTAATATTATTCTTGTCATAAGATTTCAGACACTAGCCTTGCTCTGTTATTTCATTTCAGGAGGTTTCTTGGGCCGCGAGAAAATCCTACCCCTTCCAGGTGTCTTGGTGTCTTTGGTTTATCCCTTCATACCCAAGAAAGAAACCTTTACGATATTTTTTCGCAGTATGGAAATATTGAAGATGTTCAATTAGTCTTCGATAACTACACAGGTTTGTTAGCTCTTCTTTATGTAATCTTTAGGTCGCTCTCGTGGATTTGGTTTTGTATATTTCACTCACGTCGCTGACGCAAAAGCTGCAAAAGCCGATGCGCATGGAATGGAAATTGATGGACGACCTATTAGGTGTGATTTCAGCATAACCGAACGACCACATTCGCCTACTCCCGGCATATATATGGGGCGACCATCTAGGTAGGTACTCATCTAGGTTCTATAATTTCCGTATATTTGTCATATAATTTTGAACAAAAACCGTTTAGATTTCCAGACTTTCAGTGGTGTTCTAAGATTCGTCGGTTCATGATTTCATTAAAATTCAATTATTTCCGCAACTCTTAGTTTATTCCTATTTTTATCTTTGCATCTTCATTCTCTCTAAGTATTTTATTTTATTATATGGTACTTTAAAACGTTTGAGACAGTTTAAGTAGGGTGATCGCGTTTTGCTACACATCTTCCAATTTAATTCTAAATACCTTTATTGTGGGTGCAAATAATGCGTATTTCTAGTGGTTTTCTTTGTACTTTAAAATATCCCAAGCTTAGATAACATCGTCTTTTGTAAAGCCTATCTGCATTTCAGTTCCTCATTTTCCGATTCTATGGAGTAACTCAGGAAATAATTTCACTATTTTAGGTGCTTAACCTTATCAGAGATTCCTTTTCGTTTAATTGATTTCACAACAATTTTTCCGTGTTCATGGCTATTTTTCTTTAGTGGTTCTCAAATCATGCAGTTGTCCGTTTTCGTTAATTGTTTTTTTCAATTTATGTTACCATGCTAGTGGTTATTATCTTTCAGGAATAAGTTAGCTTTCGATCCTTTTTTAGACGCCCTATTCCTCGGAGACGAAGTATTTCTCCACGTGGACGTTATTCTCGTTCAAGGTCTCGTTCGCGTAGCTATGATCGTAAGTAGCGCTGCATTTTAACCTGATGTTTTCCTTCAGGGCGTTACTAAACACTGACAACATTTGTGTTAAACCCATTTTTACTGAGATGCATTTCTGCTTCAGTGTGCGACTGTTTCATCACTTGTCTGTAATACAATTCCTCCATCTGTTCACTCACATATGATACAAAATAAATATATAGTCAAGAATTATGATTCATTTTGTCTTTCTTTTACAGTTGTATGAATGGCAAATAAGAAAATAGAATACTCTAATGTTAAGAAATTATACAGAGGAGTAATGAAAATGAAGAATTGACATGAAGTAATTCCGAAATAATTTTATGTGGACAAAGAAAATAAATTACGAAGTACTGAGAATTCGGCAAGACCTGAACGCTGTTACTGAAATCAGTCATCTTTTCACCGGATATTTAGGTGGTTCGCTCCAACTGAATATATTTAACGAAACTATACTCAGCTCGACAGCTTCGTTTGTTTTGACGTAATCGACTCTTACGTAGCGTCATGGCGCTTTGAATTTTCGTGAAAACAGGTGTTGTAAGTCATTGTCGATCGCAATGTATGTGAGCTTTGAATTTTCTGAAAGAGCTAGTGGGAATGTCTAGGTGCATTCTACCTGAAATCATTCGCATCTCAAGAAACCTTGAATTTGTAGTTTCAGGATTGCGGCAGCTTGAATTGAATAAGAGAAATAAAATTACTATTCGAAATTTGTACTAAGACAGTATGCAACTGTATTGTGAATTTCATTCGGAAATCCGTCCACTAATAAGAAAATGTTTGAACATGAAACGATTGATCGTAAGTTTATCAGTTTGTCTTTTTTAGCTATTCGAGATATGCGTAGTTAAGACAGTTACAACTTTTTGGGTTATTACTGTAATGCATGCAATCATCAAAGCAAGGCTTTTATTACCATTAAATGTAATTTTCCAAACAAATACGTACAAAGGCGACAAAGTTAGGGATTGACAAAAGTAACAAAAATGTATCGTGTCCCTTCTGTCGTTGCTAGTCCTTCGTGTAGATGAGTCACTCTTCCTGGACTAACTACTGCCCACCCAACACGTGTATTGACGATTGAGCAGTTATATCGATTGTAACGTATCCCACCTCCCTGTAAATGAAAGGAATGAGTTTAATTCTCTGCTCTAATAGGCGTTTTACTGCCGTCAAGAATTACTCACCTTGTAGTCTTTCCCAGGCTGGTTTAGTCCAATATTAATTGTGTAAGAAGATGCGTCGTGATGAGGTCTCAAGGAAGGTTGTTCGTCTGGTTTGTATCTGACGACAAAATTCATACGGGCCCATGGCTACAATAATGTACAGACAAAATCAATTATTATCAGACATTAGATGGGTGCATCATCTCATACTGGAGAGTACCTACCTTATCGTCATACCCTTGGAAAAGTTTCTTTTGCATCTTATGGACGTATTTTTCTAGAACATGCAGCCAGTGCTCCTCCCAACCAATTTGGCGCATGTGAATATCTCTTGTTGGTACATTTTCGTATCCTCCTTCCAATCGTGGGTCATAGTTGTCGCCTGTAGACCATTGTCCATAGTTTTCTACTTCTTCGATAAGATGCTTACAGAAAGTTTCTGATACTAAAGGAAACCAAAATACGTCTGGGCATGGCTGAGCAATATCTGTCATTGTCACTTCAGGTTTCGCAAAGTTGAAGTATTGCGGGTGTATGTATTTTTCTTCCCAGTCCTGTTTAAAGTCAATTTCGTGTTATTAGGAAAGTGTAGGTACAATGTTTATAGTAGTTATTAATCACAATTCCTGACGGTAATATATGCTTACAAATTGAAACAGTTGTCATCTTTGTTTATCTACGCAGTTTATAACAATAATTGTTTGGCTGTTGATTCTGATAATGCGCAGACAGGGCTGCGCTGATTTCTATCGGAATGTTTTTCTTTTGTAGATCTGTTTTTAGTCCCTTGTTGCTCCTGAAAGTGCTTATACATGCAATCTTAATTACGAAAAAACTCATCTACTGAAGCGAATTCGTGTACTTTATATAACTCTAACATGTTGCTGGTTTTTTTATGTAATTAAACGTCGAAAAATTCAAATATAACTTGTACCAATGATGAACTCCTTTTTGGTGACTAATGAAGCATATTTCAAAGTAGAAATAATAGACATGCTGGGTTTCCAGACTTACCTGAGGATTTTCCATCGTTTGCCACAAGTCGTTGTGCAGTTTACCTTTCGTATAGTTTTTGGCGTCGATCAGATATCCGAAGTTCATTTGGTTATCAACGAACATAAAAACATTCTAAAACAAATATTAAAGGAAGTTAATTGTAATTCCATAAATTCCCTTTCATTTTTCGTAGTACGATTCGACATGTATGCGAAACTTGTGAGTGGAAAATCGCGTCGTTGCAGTACTGGTAATTCATAAGTGGACATGTGTATATACCGCTCTTAGTATAGGGTTACATAGTTTTGAAGATGTTATAAATATATTAGTAAGTTTGTTTGCAGCGAATTTAATTCAGAACTATCAATTGTGTGTAAAGTTTATGTTAAAACTAATTACTGTATTTGATCAGCTCAAACGGAATAAATAGGCACTCTAAGAAACACATCTTTATGAGTACACTTGTTTCACAAGATTTTATCACTAGTCTTGGTACTCTCTTTTCAGTTCCTTAGGTTCTTCGTATAAACATCGAAAATATCCTGTATAATTGCATTAATTGTTCAGTTAGCATAGCCGTAGGCTGAGAAGTGTTTCCTCTGAAATTTCCCAAATCCAAGTGTGAAACGCAAAATATAATTTCTTATGTGTTTCACACATTGTTCTGCTAGAAATAAAAGTATGTTGCTCACAATACAGTCTATCAGAACACCTTTTGTACATAATGCTTGAAAAAGTTTGCATGCACTTAACGGTTGTATGTTAGAAATGCTAATTATACTGCAACAATTAACTTTAATTCCTTCACATAATTATAAAACAATCCATTTTAGATGCTTACCTTGTTTCTTGCTTCATATGCAAAGTTCATTTCGCTGTTACTGACATCGATCAGTTTACGTACTGCCCATCGCGATATTAAGTAGGCACTCCTAACCAGGGGAACATTCCAAATCCCTCTGAAAATCGAGACCGTTAATATCTTACGAAAGTTGATTCAAAAATGCCTAGTATTTCTTCTCAACTTACGTTATATTGTAATGTATTATATCCATATAGTCACTAGACCTAGCGTAAAACCCATCAGCATCTAACGCTCCCCAGAAGTTCGACCAAGCTTTTCCTCTTATAGTTAACAAAGGTGCGATTATCGAACGGTTCATTTTAACCAAATGACTTAGGGTTTCTGGATTGTCCAGTTGAGCAATGCTGTCTACTGCAAACACGTATTTACAATCTTCAATTGCTAAACAATATCCGCTGGAAATAAAGTACCAATAAGTCACACAATTAGATGGGAAACTTACAATACTTTCTTTCTTGCAATTTCTTCATCTAGATTTTCCTCAAGCCAGCTGACTGAAAAGTATTGATGTCCAAAAGTTTGGTTGAACGACTCTGCTACTGAAGATTGAAATTTACTGTTCTCCTATCAAGAAAATATGAATAATTTAGGTGTAACTAAACCATCAGTCGATTTTGTCTCAAACTTCATGGTGATCTTCAAACTATCGTAGTTCTACTTACCATGGTGGGCCATGTACAGTGATCCATTTAGTTTGAATACTCTTCCTAAGGCGTTAATTGAGTTCAAACTGCGGTTTCGTACATTCAATGTAGTGTGCATGTTAGCAACCAAGCTTGTATTAAATGTGCATCCGGAAATCACCTTCAGTGCTGTCATTCGGAATATCTGTAATCAATTATTGTCAAGGGAATGTATTCATAACTATAGAACCGACATGGTTCTACAAATCAAGGCTGTGTTCAGTAGAGCAGCACGCTCACGTATATTTTATGTAGGCATTAAATTTTGTCCAGTATGATTCATCTTGACACCTGTTTCTGCAAAACAAACAGATGGCTTGCGAAGTCATGTGTTTTCTAATGCCTTAGCCGCTTATCCCAAATTAGGTAGGAATTCAGTAGAAGAATGGAGATGTCTTTATTTCTAATGGCATCATAAATGCCACCTGTTCGGTCACTCACAAACAGGACAATGACATTTTAACTTGGCTTTTATTTTATACACTTCAAATAATTTACCTGGTGAGAAATATATGCAATGTAAAATACGGGTAAAATATGTCCTAAATTTGTAGGAAATAAAACATACATAAGGGTTTAGGCGACAAACATTTAATTGTCGTCTTACTTACCGCCATATGACCGACTACATGAAGCCTGGACTTTGGGTAGGATAAAGCTGCTATTCGTTCAAAGAATCTTTCGATGAATGGTGTTCCCTGTTCAATGAAGATTCCAATGACCACTAGAGGGTAGTCCTTTTTTGAAAAATAGAAAATTGAAACATTTCGCTTTATCAATTATGTGATCATTCCTTTTATTGGAGAGTTCTCAGTGTATATGGAATTCGATTGATCGTGACGTTGAATCGTGAACTTAGTTTTTTAGTTAAAAAACTTCGAAGGGGGTCACCCTACTGAGTCAGTTCGTTTCATCTAAAATGTCAGTGGATACGTTATGAGTATGCTGTATCATTAGGTTTGCTGTTGTGTTCTAAACACAACGTATTCGTCAAACAGTTTCTCATGAATTCAAACGAGTAGTTTTTACGCAAATGAAATCTTTCATGGGTATGCTTAGGACGTAATTCTTGATAGAGTCTTAATATCGATGTTTGTTGTCTATCCGAGATCCGTATTCAAGACTCTGGCAACATCGGCCAAACTGTCCTGCCCTCCATGGCCGGTGACGATTGATTCCCCAAATGAGGCGGAACTCAGCAAGGAACTCCAACTCTTGAAGCGTTACAAATCACCTGGCCCAGATGACTTACCTCCGGCTCTTTTTAAAGATGGTGGTGACTTTCTGACTAAGGAATTGACGACGTTGTTTACAAAGGTCTGGGAGTTAGAGAGTGTACCAACGTCATGGAATGAGTCGATAGTTGTCCCTATCTCTAAAAAGGGTTCACGTCGTTTCTGTAACAACTATCGGGGGATAAGTCTACTTCCGATTGCGTCCAAGCTATTGGCTTCCGTCATTCTTCGTAGGTTGTTCAAAACCCGACAAACATTGACTCGCGTGGAGCAGGCTGGGTTTCGTTCTGGTCGAGGATGTATTGATCATATCTTCGCCCTCCGCCAAATGTTAGAACACTGCCATACTTTTCAAAGGCCAACAATTGTAGTGTTTCTTGACATCAGGGCTGCCTTCGATTCGGTGGATAGGACTGTTCTCTGGGATTGTCTGTTGAAGAAGGGTGTGTCTGAGAAGTTTATTAACATCCTAAAAGCCCTATATACAAACTCCTCAGGTAGAGTGAGGGCATACAACCACCTTTCTCCATTGTTCCATTCGAGTAGTGGGGTTAGGCAGGGTTGCCTAATCTCACAATTCCTCTTCAACTTTGCCATCGATGATATTCTGGAAACAGCTCTGATGGATGTAAGTAATGGTGGTGTGGATCTGCTGCCTGGAGAAAGACTTCTCGACCTTGAGTATGCGGATGATATTGTCTTACTGTGCGACAATGCCCAAGGCATGCAATGCGCACTTAATCAGTTGGCAATCAGTGTCCGTAGGTATGGTATGTGCTTTGCACCTTCGAAGTGCAAAGTACTCCTACAAGACTGGCAGGATTCTAACCCTGTACTCACTCTGGATGGTGAGCAGATAGACGTAGTCGAGAAGTTCGTGTATCTGGGTAGCTGTATGAGTGCTGGTGGGGGTGTGAGTGATGAGATCAATGCACGTATAATGAAAGCCAGAGCGGCTTATGCCAATCTGGGCCATCTTTGGCGCCTTCGTGATGTTAGTCTGGCTGTAAAAGGTCGGATCTACAACGCGTCGGTGAGAGCAGTTTTGCTCTATGCTTGTGAAACCTGGCCTCTCCGAGTTGAGGACGTTAGACGACTCTCTGTGTTCGATCATCGTTGTCTCCGAAGGATTGCTGACATCCAGTGGCAACACCATGTTAGTAGTGCAGAGGTTCGGCATCGTGTGTTCGGTCACAGAGACGATAATGCAATTGGTGTCACCATCTTGAAACACCGACTTCGGTGGCTTTGACATGTTCTACGAATGTCGTCCCAGAGAATTCCACGTCGTGCATTATTTGCCCACTCTGGGACTGGTTGGAAAAAGCGGAAAGGTGGTCAGTGTATGACATGGTGTCGTGGTATGAAAGAAAGCTGCAAAGGGCTGGCTTCCGTTGTTCCTTCACGACTCCCTGGTTGGGGTCCTAGAGATGGTGCGACACAGTGGCTAGAGACGTTATCAGATATGGCTCAGAATAGAAGCCAGTGGCGATCCTGCTGTAACCTTCTTTTACTTTCTTCATAAAAAGTGACCGTAACTTCATTACCTGAAAGGATTCTTTCTGGTCGTACCTTTCTGTTTCTCCTATTATTATTATTACACTACCTTACACTAATCTGTACGCTATTGTTTTTTTTACGCTTGTTACTTTTTTTTCCTTCTTCTCTTCAAATTCTCATTGTTTTGTTTAGCGCATATGTATTTGGTGCCCTCTTGTACCAATATTTATGTGTTGAAATAAATAAATAATTTTCGATAATGCGAACTTATATCGTTCTATATAAATGAAATGGAAGTACGGTAGAAATATGTTCCCGACATAAATTTAGACTATTACGTGAATCCCAGTTCCTTCGGACATGCTTACTAGAATAGTACCTATTTACAAGTGTGGTATTTAAGTCAAAAGGTGGGTCTGTTTTTAGATTCCCTTCAGTTATAAGCTAGGTGACTTATCAATGAACCCTTCCAAATAGATGTGTCAAAACAGCCTACCACCATCGTACCTAGTTTCACGTTGCTGTTGATTCCGTCACTGAGAAGAATGAAGACAACGGACTTAGTAACAAGGAAACTGCGTTTTTGTTCGATAGAACTAGCATCACCTCAAAACTGGCCTGTTTATACAAAAGAAATAGATACTTAACAGAATTTTCGTAATCCAAGTCTGCACGAATGCACCCATTCTTCATAGTACGCATCTTTAGTATTATTTCTACTAATCTCTTTCAATTACTATGAATAACTTGAAATGTTAAAACTTCCCTTATTATATTTGTAACTGTCAAACAATTCCAATGGTTTATTTGATTGCATTATTATTATGATTTATCATCTCAGTTCCATTCTCTCTACATATATATTTCTTAACTATTTCTATAGACTGGATTTCTTTAATTACTCAAACTTGATATTATGTACTAAAATATTTAATGCATGGTTGAGACAAATGCTTAAAAAATTATCTAATTCATATGGATATATTTAGGAACATAAACTAATTATACAGTGCCATTCACTCCTACATAGCATATATATGATAATTCACAATCACTTTTCCATGTAAATTGTATGCCTAATGAATAATCAAACTGAAACACCAGCATTATTGGTTATGGCGATAACTAACTAAACGATTAATCCTCTTCCTTATTAAATACGTATCAACTTTTTATTCCTGAAATCCACAAAGTTTGCGCTTTGGTAGCACTAGAATAAAATGAACGTAGCTGAAAAACCCGACTTCTAAAGATTTTTCGAATTGTTCCGAATGATAAAAAAAATTGGCCAGTTGTCTTACTACTAAAAGGGGCAATGTAAGTGCATCCTGATTGTCGTGAATTAAATTATTTATAACCTCATTTTGAGAATTTACTGGTAAATGGGCACTTAGTAAATTAATAAATAATATAAGTAACGGAAACTGATAACTAGTCGTAAAAGTAATCCATTTCCTAATAACAAATATTGACTGAAAATGCAACAGTTGTCAGCGCGTTTGCCATAAGAACCAATCTGAAGGAATACGGCTACCTGCGATTTCTTATCAATTAATAAACTTACTGATATATCCTGAAATTCAATATTATCTTCATCACAGTGTTGACAATTTTTTGTAGGACTCCAAGAATATGCAAGGTAATTTGACAGTGAATTAAATTCAACCTTTTAGAATATAAATAAAGAATAAGAATTATACAATAAAGTGCCGATAGTCTAGAAATGTTATAGGAAATGATTGTTTACCCTGATAATCACAGATGTGGTGAATACGGTTCGCAAGCTAATTGCATTCATTTAGGAATTATTTGTATTTCACTAAATGATATTATATGACCTAATAAATCTCAGTTAAATTATGACGACTGTGTAGTCTCTGAATATTAACAACATGACCTACAAACAGTGGTATGAGTCATGGATTATCCCATTGATTGTAAAATCGACATAAATCTGACCAAAGACAACATATTTAATAGAATTGACCTCTCATTTTCAGTGGGTTTGATAGATAACTATTTATCAAAAATCCAGAAATACCTATCCCTTTTTTAATAAAATCGACTTTTAGTATTACAACGCATGGTGTGACCAGAAGATTGCCTGAAACCAAGTACATGTTGACCAATGTACTGTTCTTCCACCCACGCTTCTTGCCCATTTTATTTTGGCCTATGCATTTAAGATACAGACTGGTATTGTAACAAAACTGTACACAGAATTTATAGTAAATCAGACCTGGACTGTCCAAATCAATAAATGTGAAAGATGAATTTATGGTAAACCTATATTAGTCTGTTTTGTAAGCTTTAAGGTCATTATCTGAAATTACACCTATTTATTAATGTTTACGTAAACATTAGTTTTGAAGAGTTTATTATTCATTCAAACTGAAAATAACTAAAATTCATACATACATAAATAACTAAGGATCCCTTTTTTAAAAAGACGAAGAGAAATAAATTCAAATAGCTTAAGACTTAGTTATAACCTACTGGTTTTGTATGATAATAGGATAATTATTATAATAATCTAAACGTACATGTAAGCGATATATTGAATGTTACTTAATTTTTCGAAAACAGCTGAAATTAGCATAGTTGGACAAAGTAAATATGTTTTTCGTGTTGTCATAAACTCATAAGACATCCATCTGATATGAGTTTAACTTGATAGGTTTTTGTGCGCAAGTATTATTTGGTAAAGTAGTACATGCCGTAATAGAGTGAACTACAAAATAAACCTTTAATATTTGAAGCTAAACTATGATCTCCCTTAAAAATGTCATACATCGGTATTATAGACACATCAATTTAACAAAAGTTTAATTTTAAAAAAGTGTTTGTAATCGACTATCCCTTTAGACAATCAAATATACGACAAATGATCAATTTGTGTGCTTTGAGAAATTGTTTTACATCAAATCTATTTTCATTATACAAATGCAATAAACACTGTGGAAGACTTGTGAGCGACAGATTGTGTCAAGTTATTCAGTAATCCTCGCCAATTTGTAAGAGCTTCTGAATTCAATGAATTTGAACCCTTTTTAATTTTGTATGTTCACTTGGGTCTATACCGTTGTGTAATTAGACTCACTTAACAACGCAATACATTGAGAAGGCGTGCATTTAATATTCATGTATGTAGTTTGTTTGACGTCCTAGCGATACGTACTATTGGACTGATCCCTAGAGGTACGCTCTCAGTGCTGAGTTTGTACATAGTAGTAATAATATATACTGTATTCTGAATAATGAACGGATTAACACAATGATCAATTATCATACAGAGTTCTGGATGGATTGACTCATCAGTCAAATGAATGTATAAATTACTGTTTAAGTTTATATAGCCCAAGAATAATATAGCCATAGAAACACATATATATATATATATATAAATAGTATATCCTTTAAAGTTATCAATTAATAAGATTATCAGAAGGGGTTTGTGGAGATTTTAGAAATTTTCACAGATTGAAATCATGAGTCAGTTGAAACTAGACCACCATGGGAAACCTGGGAGCACTGGACGGCCGTTTCATCCTAGTATGGGACTCCTCATCAGTGCGCATCCACGATCCCGCGCCCCGCGAGATTCGAACACAGGACCTATCGGTCTCGCGTCAGGAGCTTGACCAACTAGACCACTGAGCCGGCCGTCCAATGCTTCCAGGTTTTCTATGGTGGTCTAGCTTCAACTGACTCATGATTTCAATCTGTGAAAATTAATAAGATTGTAAATAATAAATTAAATATTCAGATGAGTGTTCAGTATTAAAACAGATCAGACAAGAACAAGCCTCAATGGATGTGAGACCGCTACAACACTATCTAAGAATATTTGAAAAGTCCAAATAATGTATCATCAAGAATCAGTTTTTGAATTACTCATTTATATCAAAACTCTATATGATATGACACCCATGAATAAAAATATGAATTAACATACTGAAGAATCTGGAATCCTGAGTGAACTATTTCTAATTTCTCTTATCTTACCTTTATTGGTCCATTACCATGAGCTATAATTGGAGTTGTAGAGAATATTTTATTAAATAGATATCCTGTTTCATCATTAAAATGTAACTCCACATCACCTGAAAACAGAAAGTTTATTTGAAGTGATGAGAAATATTTGTAGACCAGTTGAATGATGTTTGTTTGTGTTATATGTCTTTAAGCTGAATGCTTTAAATAAGAGGCGTTTATCATTGTTCTGGACAACACCATTATCCACTACTTCAAGTACAACTACTCAGCTCAGACAACAATAACAGAACCAAAACAAAGCTGCATTTTATACTTCACAATTCAATAAAATCTTCAGAAATAAATATAATTGTAACTTAGTGTTATAATGTTAACCATACTTAACATATTTAACTTTGATTACAGAAAATTTCTCATACAAATTTATGATGCATCATATTTAAGTTGAGTCAACTTTAATTTTCTTTGAATCAACATATTATTCTCTTTGAAATCTAACGGTAAAAATTAACTAAAATCTAGAAAATATCCTATTAAGTTTCTTCGATTTTAGATTTTTCTACATATTCATATTGTCTGGAATGCTTGTTGGTAAAATTCTTTGAATCTGTATAAGTCAACCATTATTTCTGGTAATTTATGCTTAATAGGTCATAACAAACCCATCCATGTTGCATAACACTAATGTTGATTTACTCTTTTATAGATTGTTTCTGAATAATCAAAGAGCGACATTTCACAACAGTCCATATAATTCATTTTAATTATTCGTTAATATTATAACTTTATACAACAAATATATTGAATTTTAGTTCTAACTGCATGATTAATGAATGTGAGTTATGGAATATATGTTGCAGTGATAAATCTAGTATATAGTTTCTGTGAAATCAAAATGATCTGGTATTAATCAAAAAAGTTTGAAACACTTACAATATGTAATTTTGTAATTAAAAGTAGAAGTAACACATAATTTTAGAGGGGGGGTAAATAAAAAAATATTAATTTATAGTATAATAAATGGGAATATTTCAATTGAATGAATGCAGTATAATTTAGTAATATAATATTTAGTTAGTTTAATATAGTTTAGTTACAAGCTGGATTTATCAACATTGATTGGTAGCAAAAAGATATCAGTAACTAACTTAATTTGGCTTTCCAAATAAACTTTTTGTTTTTATCAAATTGGCTTACATAACAAAATACCTACAGATGAGATAATGGAGAATATCTGTAGGTCAGAAGTGTGGTTTCGAAGAAGTTTAGTACGACAATGGAAGCTTAAGAATTAAAACTATTCAGTGGATACCACTTTACTAGATTCCGGATATTCGAAAAGCAAATAGACGACATTTATTTAGATTCACTTGGACTACAAATTACAAGTTGTAAACCACTAATCAAAACCATATATTTGTATAAATCAGAAAACAATGGTATTTTTATGTAAGCCAGTCTATGGTATGGGAGATATTTGAAGATCGTAGAATTTGTAGTTTACATCACAGACTAACATAATTTTGGTAGCCGTTGAAGGCCAGAAAATACTTGAGAATTCGTCGTATTATCGAGTTCCTCGTAATTATGCTTTTGCAACCTCTCTGGAAGCTAGATGTAGATCTTCAGGCCATGTAGCGAACTCTCAGTCAAACTACTAAACCGGAATACCAATGGTTTACACTTCTAACATCAGTTGATAATTCATTGGAATTGTGATATTTGTCACATACCTGACACGACTGAAATACAATCTTATGTAAATAAATGTTAACCTTTTATTGAGCTTTATATTGCATAAACGACCAATAGTGGGGTGATTAGACTGTAAACACAGTGTCGAATTTAATTTCATCTAACAGTTACTATCTACAATATAACTGGATGGTTTGCCCTAAAATCTTGAAGTCTCCAACTGGACTATGTATTAGAAAATAGCTTCATGTTGTTTGATATGTGATTTGAAGGACTATATTTTATGATGGAACTCAACAGGCACTCATCGGTGATGCCAAAATTACTTGTTCCTATGGTTCTACATAACTTAATACTGAACTGCCTTAAATATTATACACAAACCTATTAACGTTATTTTACATATGTATATTGAATAAAGACAAAATATATCTAGCAAACCATTTAACTTAGGAATTTCTACACTTTTTTTGTTTTTAATTGACATAAGTCATACATGCACCAGTACTCTACCACACATTTTCAACATTTTGTAACTTCTAGTAGAGATAAGCCAAAAAAAATTTTAGAAATAGTAATAATATAAAATTGCATTCATATTAATTTACAGTATCAAAAAACAAATCCCCTAACTTACTGAATGCTCCATTTAAATTTTGAAAAATTCTTGAAGTTTTGTCAAGTTCAATATCATACAGTGTCTAAAATAAATAAGGAATTCTTAAATTTCTGCCAGTGATTTGTCTTACGCTATTAACGTCAAATATTTAGAGTAGCAACAAAATTGTTAAAGGTGAATTTATACATCAAAGTTGTGTATGTAGTTAATGCATTTAACTATAATTAATTAATATTCCTTTTTCTGTCCAGTGTATTATTATCAAACTATATTTGCTATCACTATCTTAAATAATGTCTTTCTTCTTCTTGGTGAATAAATTTTTGTTCTTTTTCTCCTTGTTTACCATACTGTTCTATAGAGAAAATAGTCGTTAGGTTTATAGGCACATCCATAAACCACTTATTTATTTAACAACTAGGTAATGGTCAATACTACATTACTTTGGTGATTTATATAACTAATTTTCGATGTAAATTAGTTAAATATTCTCTAACTTTTCATAATAATTGTGATTGCACATATAACACCATTAGAAACCCTTACTTTACACTAAAACATAAGAAAAATTATTCATGTATACGTTTGAAGGCTAATCGTGCATATTTACAGTGAAATTTCTGTTAACTATTAAGATTATATATATATATATATATATATATATATATATATATAGAGAGAGAGAGAGAGAGAGAGAGTTGAGCAATAAAATCTCGTTCAAACTGAAAATTTAACCAACAAACGGAACAAAAACTTACTAAAAATTCTATACTTTCATACTCTATGAGAGAAATTAATAATTAGTTTAAATTTATTCGACGATATCACTATTTTACATTACAATATACATAAAGTTTGTATTAGTATAATACCGGTTTCTTTCTTCTTATTTGAATCTTAATATATTGTATGTTTTGGTTTACATTAAAAGAATGAAAATGATCATTCAAATAAGATTTTAACAACAAAAAATGCCTTTTCTTTCATTTATAAAATATTGTATTAAATTAGATTATTGTTAGTTTTTTTGGATTACATATTTCCATTGAACTCAAATATACTTAAACCAAGAAAATATTAGTGAGTAGTTGCAATGAGTTTCCGTGTAAATTTTCACATATACACCATTGACTTTTGATTATAAGATGGTTTGAATGTTGAAACCACTTGATGAATTACTTTTTTTTCTACACTTTACTGTTCTGTATATGCATTTATTGCAAACCATATAGCAAGTATGTATTACCATTTGAATGAAAATTATTAACTTTTATTAAAATATGAATAATGGATTGTATTTATATATACATTTTTATAGTTTTATATGAAATTATGAAGTGAATTGTAAAGTTAACCCAAATTATAGTTCAATCTGAGACAGGTATTCTCGAGTATTGCAGATATATTTTTCAAAGTCACCACAAATCCATGAACTCATGTTCATAAATTTATGAAGATATCTGAAGTATAGTAATTATATCACGTATCCTAAGAATATCATAAAAATATTTTTTTTTGATTATTCAATTATCAAGGCATAAGACTTACTCTTAACGTTGAATCTAGAAATATGTTTGTATAATATAGTTGATCATCATCATCATCTTTAATAGATGCGTGATTGATAATTTTAATCAAATTAACCGCTGGTCCAATAAACCCTCCAGAGTTTAAATAACGTTTTTCACCAGAATTTACTTCAGGATATAAGCTCTATAAGAAGAACAAGAAAAGGAAGTGTAAAATGTCACTAACATACAGACTTATTGGCTTCGTAAATTAAGTTAGTTGAAAATCAATTGAAAGACCATTGAATTAGCAACAACAGATAAGAATAGTGAGCGTACTGTAAGACCGTATAACGGTGACTTTAATATACAACTTCTATATTTTTCTAAACATATGTAATTGTAGCATAAATTATTACTATCAATTATACTATGAAATGCAATTATCGTGAAGAAGAAGTAGTGATTTCAATTATATTTAGAAGAATATAATATCAAGAAGGATATGTCAGATGTTATACATATATCCAAATAAACATGAGAAGTTAGTCCAGCATAAAAAATATGAATTTCACAAACACTCCACAAATGAGCGAAAAACTGCACGATAATAATCTAGCACATGGTTTAGCCAAAACATATGCAAACTGATATTGTATTATTCTGTTAAGATACGCTTATATCATACTCATAAAAAAGGTATTTTGAAAATGATCATAAAATTTAAAAACAATCATAAAATCACCACAAATGATAAAGAGTTAAAATAACTGAGTAGCTATACTGCCTAATTTACCTGTAGGCTTGGTTGTGGCCAACAAAATTCCTCTGCAGAAAATATTACTTTGGATTTAAACTTTTCATATTCCTCAAGTAATTTATCCACATTTTGCATGAAAACAACATCATAACTGTATGAAAACAAAGTGAAGTATTTAATGAAATTCAGGATATAAAATACTTGATTGACAAATGTGGTGATTAATGAAAGTTATGAAATAGTTTGCTTACGTAACGCATTCCACTAAGACACTAGCTTTTCGATTTTTGAAGTATGGATGTCATTTATATATGAGTTTTAGGACCTAATGCAAGAATAAACATCCAAATATTGCATTGGTTATGGATATTAGCTCCTTCCGGAGCTACTCTTCAGCAATTGTTAATCACAAAATAGATAGATGGAAGGTTAGAGACCTTACTCCATGAAGAGAAAACCCACCACAAAATAGCCAACTAGAAAAACCAATAAAGCTTTACTCTGAAGAATGTTCCTATAGAAGAGTTATGATGTCTCATGATGAAAGCTTAAGTCCTTTTGCAGCCTCGAGTCAGATACCCCTTTCGACAGCCAAAGTAACAATAAATACAGGAACTAAGATTTTTATTTGAATAATGGTGGAAATAAAAATATGCCACATGTTCGTGCTTAGAATAAGTAAGACTCGTTAGACACAACCTGAACAGAAATAACTAACTTTAGAAGGAATGTCGTCTTATTATTGCTACAAAGGTAAATATGCTCCTTTGTGCACAAGGAGTTTCACTGATGCCCTCCATATAAGCACAAAACTCTCTCATTCAATACAAAACTCACAAATCCAGGATAATAAAATCATCCTTCTAAACAAAGTCGGAAGGGATAACAACAAACAGGAGTAGCAGGGTTTGGTTGATCTGTGTGTTTTGAACATCAAAAGCAACTCATAGTCAGCAGCATGTTCCCTTGCAAACCCACGCACAAATGTACATGGATTCCACAAAATCATCCTACCGAAAACCAGATAGAACACATCTACGTCAATATAAAATTCAGAAGGTTCAACATGATGAGAGACGCTCTGTCATGAGAAGCATAAGAATAAAAAAATCGACCTCTGTGTACAGTCTGAGCAGGATTCAAGATAGTAAGAACAAGATATCAGTCAACAATAGCAAAGCAAAGCAAAATGAAGTCGATGCATAAATGAAACACACAGAAGAAAATAATTGAGTGAAGAGGAATATCAGACTTGACACGAGAAAATACGTGACAAACCTGAAAATTACACTATACAAGCGGCAACAGAAGGAAGTATAAAATAGTTGTACGATACAGTGAACAAGCTTCAGGGAACTATGTAGCAGATCAGAGCAACCAATCGAAGACAAAAAATCAAAGCAATTATTGAGAGGGTAGATGAGATGGACAGGATACTTTGTAAGGCTCATGAATAGACCAGCACCACTGTACCCAGTGACTGTCAACATGGGACGCACAGATCCTCCAATAGAAGATATCCCATAGTAACATAAAAATTAAGCAAGACTATCAAACATATCAATAACGATTAATCAGTAGGACAAGATGACTCATCAGCTGAATCTTTGAATTCAGATATAGTAATAATGGCGATGGTATTCTTTTTTCTCTTCGAAAGAATCTAGAAGAAAGCTCGAAATCCATCAAACTGGAAACAAGAATTCCTTGTCAGGGTGCCAGATAAAGAAGATCTTAATAATTGGGCAGACTACAGAGGAGTCACACTACTTCCAGTTCCACGTTAAGTTTTCTACTGCGTTAATAGACCGGATGAAATACTCACTGGACGCCAAACATTATGACCAACAAGCTGGTTTTATAAACATTAATATTATTCAGGTCAAATCACAAAACTGCCAATTATTGTTGAACAATCAGTAGAATGGAACTCATTGATGTTTGGTGGCCCTGTTTATGACTCCATTCATATCGTATGAATGTTATTGAAATATACATGTAGCCAATCCTCGTATATAACCATCGACTTAACTCAAGTTAGTGTATAACTGAATTAAATAAGTTAAATATGAGAATGAATTTCGAATACATACATTTGATACAATCGTCGATCCAGACAAACGATCAGAGAAGCAAAGCAAAATGACACGCGGTGGAGAAGGCATGTAAACCAAGCCAATTTAATCAAGCGTTAATCAATATTTATAGCCAGATAAAAATAAGCTACAGACATGATGAATAGGATAAGAAGTGCGCACACATACGTTCATATAAAAACAGCCAGTATAAATAAGCCAATAAGTGAAAAGATCAAATTGTGGCTTAAGTACAATGAATAGATTAACTTGTCCTGAGGTCAGAATAATTTATGTGGGTTTAATATAACACATGACGTTGCACTATACTCGACAGATTTACAGAATAATATGTGGGAAAGAGATCTCAAGCCAATCTATATTAGGGTCTCCTGGTAAGCATCTTATGTTTTGGGTTGGATATTAGGCTTATTTAAGTAGTTAGTGTTGTCAATAACTCTGGATTACAGCTAGTAACTAGCAAAACAAAATTAAAACCAAACTGCTTTTGTAATTAGCCTTCTCATTCGTTCCTTTGTATCTCAAATAAAAACGTGAAGCATGAATATCCAATGAACGGAGACATTTTTCGCACTAACCTATCAACAAATAGAATAAGTTGATCCGGTTCGTAAGCACCTGTAGTTAGTTCTTCTTTCAACAAATTGACTTTCTGCCCACCACCAGTTGACTTCGCAACATACCCACCTTTCCAATGACTGCCTTCTCCAAGAACCTTTGATTGCGAGCACATTAACTCTTAAAACTGCCTACCTTCACTTTAAATCCGTTCAAGTTACACGACCTCAGGAATCTCTGTAAAGCATCGTTTTTCTCCGTTGCCACCGTCAAAACCAAAACATCTGAATGTGGTAATGTATAATATTCTACTTAAATACCATGGCAGAGGCATAATTCAGTGTAACAAGAAAGTATCACTAAGAGAAATACTAAGCTGTTGACGAACGACATCTCAAAATAATTTTTGAAAACGTACCCCATTTTTAATACAGCAAACTGAAAAGCATAAACAAATCAGCCATTTGTCCTCTAAAACTGGGCTGATTTTTACTTTAAAAAATATTCTGCGTTTAACCCAATCTGCTTTATGAAAGTTTTTCAGTTAATAATCAAGTATGCTGGTATATTACTTCCATTGAATTAATATAGATGTTCTTACTTTCATGGCAGTTTGTCTGCTTTCCTGTCATTCATTTAAAGACAATCAAATATACTGACAGAGATCCTTGATTTGAATTTTTGGGAAGTACATCCGATTTTTAGCCGCTATCTTCATTAGATATACTTCAATATGCCTGTTTGAAAATTAATTTAATATATTGAATATATTCGAACGATGACTGTTATAATGATGGATATGCAGGACAAGTGAAGTATTACTGTACCGTAGCCACGTCTAGCTGCAGTTAGACATTTTTTCGACCATTTTCAGTGTCAAAAACAACTAGCATGCATCTGTCACTTGCACTCCATATACAGTCGCATGTGTTGGTGGTCTCACTCTGTTCTTGTACCTATTCTCATTGATGCATTTCTGTCATAACATTGTGCTTTAGCTATACAGTCATCGAAGTAACTGTAGTACCTGGATACGACGAAATTTTGGTCCACATTTAGGTATTAACAGCGAGGTAACAATACAACTTAAGGTCGGAGGTTACGACATTACCACCCAGCTCGAGTAGGCCCACAGACATGGACACAGACCATCTACATTGATGACTTGTATATAAATAACTTGAATAAATACTGTTGTGAGTATTCGAAATCAGCACTGATGCATTTAAACTCGATGGAAAAAACTAACTAAAAGCGCCTTGTCAAGCATAAGCACCAAACCGCTGTGTTCGGCCAGCGAAATATCACTGGGCTCCATCGAATTATGGTCTTTTATTATATTAGTACTGCTCTAATAATAAACCTAATCATATAAGTTGCCGCGCTATTTAAAAAGGACAGTGGTATTTTTCCTCGCTGAGTAAATTTCATTGTTTTGATCGTTTATTACGTATCAAGACTACTGTTTTTCACTTTAATTGAATTTATTTCAGTTAAAGTATTCGACTAAAGTATCGTTTTTACTGTTTTGTCGTTGGTACTCTTTAGTACCACTTTTTCAACTGTATCTGTTAGTACTTTTGGTCCTAGCAATCTACAGCTCTTCACTTTTTTGGTCATTGATAATTTTTTTGTTTCTGGGTATCATCGCATATTGAAAAAACCCCTCCTAAATGACCGGACAGTGTAAAAAAAGCAGTTGCCAACGTCCGGGTTGTCGTTATCCTGTTGAAAGCGGCATGCAGTGCGACGAGTGCAAAGGCTGGTACCACGAAGTTTGCACGAACTTAACGCCTGCTGCTTTCAAACGGTTCAGTAAGAAGGGTTGTGTGTGGCTTTGTCAACAGTGCTGCTCGGATGCAAACAGCTTGTTAACCGAGGCTATCTCACTGGTTGATGCTGCCAAGAAGTGTTTCAACAAGCATAGTCGGAACGCGTCAAACAGCACTCGATCTGTTGACACGCAAATCAATGTGAAGGAAACTAAGGTGAGTCCGGTGATAGATGACTCACGCCCGTCGAAGAAGGAAAAGCAGTATCCAAAGGGGTCTGCCTTAAAAAAAAGCTCAAGAAAAGCAGGGTCTTCTGTTCCCCGTCTCCCAGATGGGATCCAACAGGAAACACCTAGGGGCCGCAATCGCAAGGCTCGATCGGTTTCGACTGGTAAACATAACACGACCCCTCAGGTCGTCGACAACCCCCCAAAACCCAACACTAGTTTTGACGCAACTGCTACTGCTTCTACCAGCAGCGTTAACGAATGGGTAAAGGTTGTAAGGAAGAAAAGTATTGACATAAAAGGGAAACCTGCCCCCGTAAAAGTGGTTGAAAAATCGAAAGCTGATCATAGCGACAGATCAGCTATTTTTCATAGAATTAAGGAGAGCGATAGCTCTGAACCTAAAGCTCGTTTTGAGCATGACATTGTACTGATTAGGCAGCTGCTTAATCAACTCATGCCTCAAAATATGACTGGGGTCACCTTGCTAAAGGTGTATAGACTAGGGAGTCTAACGGACTCGAAACCAAATCATTCCAGACTGCTTAAAGTAGTATTCGGCTCTTCAAACGAACGTGACCTAATTTTACAAAATGGACACAAATTAAAGGGTTCGGGAGTCTTTATCCGAAAGGACCTACCGTTGGCAGACCGTGTTAAAAGACGGGAAGCCGAGAAAGAACTACAACATAGGTTAGACGCTGGCGAAAAGGACCTGAAAATTGTAAATTTTCGGGTTGTAAGACTTCGACAGAGAATGATGCCGAAGCCACTCTGGGTGAAGCACGAAGGCACCTAAACAGGCTTCGGATCTGTTACACCAATGCACGAAGCTTACTTAATAAGCGATCGGAACTAGGTGTACAGATTGACTCTACAAAGCCAGATATAATCGCAGTAACAGAAACCTGGCTGACACAGGCTATAGATAGTATAGAACTTGATTTCGAGGGCTTTACGTTAGTAAGGGCCGACAGAACACAAAAGCGCAAAGGAGGGGGAGTAGCTCTATTCATTAGGAATGCTATCCCATTTACCATTATCGATAGTGTATCCCATGAGAGTGGGACATGCGAATTAGTTAGTCTTCGCTTAAAATGCAAGGGACAAGAGCTGCTGATTGGTTTGGTCTATCGCAGTCCAAGCTGTGAGGCAAATGAGGTCCTGTTAAGCAGTCTCAATACTTGGTCCCAAAGTGGTCGATGTCTAATCCTAGGGGACTTTAATGCACCAATGGTAGACTGGGAAAATCTGCGAACTAAATCGTCAGAAAATTCCTTTGAGCAGGAACTAGTTGATGCGGTTATCACATGTGCCCTAGTGCAACATGTGAAAGAAGCGACTAGGTACGACCCGGACACTGAATCATCCTTATTAGATCTTATACTGACTCACTATGAGGATGATGTTGCGAACCTCCACCATATGCCACCCTTAGGTAAAAGTGACCACGCAGTTTTAACTTTCGACTTCCATATAACTGCCAGTCATGAGGACGCGTCAGTCCAGTCCAGACCCAACGTCTGGAAAGCAAACATACCAGACATCATGCACTCAGCATCGTTAATAGATTGGACAATAGACCCAGAGTCCTCCATTGAAACGGCCTGGGACACATTTCGAAAATCATACTTAAAAGTTACCACACCTCACATCCCTTGGACTATACCAAAGGGGCCGAAAAACTCACCACCATGGTTCAGTAGGGAGGTCCGTATCCTTCTCCGTAAGAAAAGGAAAACGTGGGATAGATTTAGGTTACTGGGGACTGATGAGTCAAAATCTCAGTATCGAAAGGCTCGGAACACTTGTGCCTCGACCCTCCGTAAGTCTAGAAAATTGTACGAAGAAAAACTTGTTAAGGAATCCATAGAATGTCCTAAACGCTTGTATTCCTATATAAACCAAAGGACAAGGAGAAGAGGAAATATTCCTGCTCTATGGGGAGACAGTACTGCTTCATCATTAGTGGAGGACGACTTTGGTAAGGCTCAAGCGTTCTCGAACTACTTTAGCAACGTGTATACCATAGAAGCGCCCTTCTCGTCAGCGTATACAGATCCCCCCATACATACACTGGATAGCGTGACCATTAAAGAACTCGATGTCTTTGGTCTGCTAAATAAGCTTGACATAGGTAAATCCACGGGGCCCGATGAATTACATCCTAGGCTACTGAAGGAATTATCTAACTTCGTTGCGAACCCTTTAAGTACATGCTTTAACCTATCCGTTACGCAGGGTCGCTTACCGAAAGATTGGAAAAACGCCATAGTAAGTCCTGTCTTCAAAACAGGCACGAAACACAAACCTGAGAACTACCGCCCCGTTAGCCTAACTAGTGTGGTTGTTAAAATATTAGAAAAGATTATTCGGAAGGAGCTGTTTAAGTATCTCGATAAAAACCGGATCCTCTCGGAGAAGCAGCATGGCTTCAGAATAGGTTATTCTTGTCTCACTAACTTATTAGTGGCTCGTGAAAGCTGGTGTGCTCTTAAGGACCAAAAGCTACCTGTAGACGTCGCCTTCATTGATTTCAGTAAAGCTTTTGATAAAGTTCCGCACAACCGGCTGTTATATAAGTTAAGAAAAGTTGGGATTGGAGGTAATTTATTGATGTGGATAAAAGACTTCTTAGTTGGGCGTCAACAAAGAGTAAGGGTGAACTCAAAGTTATCTAGCTGGGAAACTGTGCTTAGTGGAGTGCCCCAGGGTACAGTTTTGGGGCCAGTGCTATTCCTCTTATATGTAAATGATCTTCCTTGTCTCCTATCATCATCGGTCTTGCTATATGCTGACGATGTCAAGATATGGAGAACGATACGATGTAAGAGTGATAGCTTAGAACTTCAAAATGACCTGAAGAAGTTATCTGAATGGTCTCAAACATGGCAGTTGCCGATAAATACTTCCAAGTGTGTGGTGATGCATATCGGTCATCAAGGCACAGATACATACACGATGAATAACACTGAGCTACCTGTCGTCCAGACATATAATGACTTAGGAGTTATCGTTAGTCAAGACTTAAAGACTACTGCACACTGCCGTGCAATAGCCGCCAAAAGTTTTAGAACGCTATGGTCAATACGTAGGGCTTTTAGTCATGTCGACACTAAGACGTTTTTGACTTTGTATACAGTGTTCGTTCGTCCTAAACTTGAGTACTGCATACAAGCGGCTAGCCCCTGCTTTAAAAAAGACAGAGAGCTTCTGGAAAAGGTTCAGAGAATGGCGACTAAGCTGGTTCCCGCAATAGCGAAGCTTCCGTATGAATCTCGTCTGGCCAAGCTGAACCTTTTCCCGTTGTCATATCGCAGAACTAGAGGCGACTTGATTACAGTCTACAAATTGCTTAGTGATAAATTTGCACCTGATATGCCCTCATTTTTCTTGTCTTCCAAAACAGAGAATTTACG